TATTTTCAAAAATTTTTAATTAATTTTGCAAAAGAATTCAATTAGCTTGAGAAACAACAAAATCGCATAAATTCTTCTCATAAAATCAATTATTCTACGGAATTTTAATAAAATTCATTTCCAAAATTCAATTATTTTGATAAATATCAAAACTCATCACAAGAATTCAATTCTTTTAAAAAAGTAATAAAATACTTTGCAAAAATTCAATTATTTTAAAATTTTTTTAAAAATTCTTGTCAAGAATTAAATTATCTTTATAAATAGATAGGAAAAATTCTTCTTAAAAAGTCAATTATTTTCAATCATTTGAATAAAATTCTTCTCATGAATTCAATTATTTTCAAAAATTATTATTTAAATTCTTCTCAAGAATTCAATTATTTTTAAAAAATTTAATAAAATTCTTCAAAAAGTTTTCAATTATTTTCAAAAATTTTAATAAAATTCTTCTCATAAATATGAGGTTTTCAAAAATTATTATTTAAATTCTTCTCAGGAATTCAATTATTTTAAAAAAATTTAATAAAATTCTTCAAAAATTTTTCAATTATTTTCAAAAATTGTTATAAAATTCTTTAATATAATAAATTTCATTAAAATTTTAATTAAATTCCTTAAAAGAAATTAAATATTTTCAAAAATTGTTAATACAATTCTTCGTAAAAATTAAATTTTAAGAAACATTCAATATTACCTATTTATTTTTGTATTTAAATAATTGATTTCTCGTAGAATTAAATTATTATTTTTCGTACTTTTAACTAACAATTCTGTAGAATTAATTTTTTTGAAAAAGTTTAATTGAATAATAATTGATGTTATTGATTTAAAGTAGAATTTTAGTTAAATATTCTAGAAAATGTTAATTGAATTGAAATGATACACTGAGAGAAATGGATAGTCAGATTTTGATGTTAAAAAGATGATGTTACACGATACTATCATTATGCTACTGCCAACCATCACAGATGCTAAAAAAATATAGTTATGCTACCCCGTACTACCAAGATGTTACTTCTGATGATATTGATGGTAACGGTGACTATCTAGATAGCTGTCTGTATACGTAGCATTAAAGATGGTCACCCTAACCACAATTATGTTACCCACTACTATAAATTTCTCTCCGTGTACAAATAATTTTGAAGAAATTACAGTAACAATATTCTTATAATAATAAAATAATGATTTTGTTAGCCGGCCATTCTTAATTATTATAAAACATAAAGAAATAGACACACACTATAACTTCTGTAATAATATAGAAGACAAGATGAATTTAAATCTGTAGTGCAATGATCAATAGCACATCTTGTATTTGTATTCCATGCCCTTTATTGCGACAAACAATTGATTCAATAGCATTTTTTCTCAGTGTATGAAAGAATTCATAGAATTTCAAGACTTGCTTGCCATTGCTGAAATGATAAAAAATTCTTCGGATTACCTATAAAACAATGGATTATACTGATTCTTTGTGAATACTCCTGAATTTTTTTCAAAATTCAAATTGTATATTGAAATGAAAAAGGGGTTTTCTTTTTTCGAACTTGAACGTTTATTAGAAAGAACTCCAGGGACATTGCTTACGAAGAGATATGAATACATATATCAAAAAGTAGTTACATATGAACTCGATAATAGTTATGCTTCGCATATACAATATATACACCGAACATGGTAGATGTCAACTGAAACTTGGGCCTGACCACATGAGTGTTGATGTATCATTGATGGTGGGGGAGTTTGACGCTCCCTCCCCAAACACCCTTGTCCTGCCATATTTTTATATCAACATCTAGTGCATGTCAAGACACGGTTGTGTTTACAGTTTGCAGTAGGTTTCTTGTTTCCCCACATCGTTTTGTTTTATTGTTTTGTACGCGATTTGCCCTTTTTTTTGTCTCGCTCGCTCAACGAGATTTTCTCATCTGCACCCAGCAACTAACTCAGTGCGTGTGAACGGAGATCACCCAACCTTTCTATCGATATCGATGTCACTATCTTTATAGTGACAAAGGAGAGGGAGATCAAATATTATAGACGTAGGAAAATATAAAAAAAAGGAGGAAAGCGAGAGATTACCGAGTGATTTCTTATGAAAAAAAGATTTTTCAAAAAAAATTTTCAAAAATGGCTTTATCTCGTGTAAAAAATATATTTTTTTCCTGCTGAGGACGGGAGTAAGAAATTTAGAATATTTAGAGAAAATAATAAAATATTATTAATTGCTTTGGTCAAACGATTAATTTAATTTAAAAAACTTTCGGTACAAGTTGAGTACAAAAAAACACTTACGGATTTTATTCCATTTATTTTCAATTCCGAATATCATTAAAAGAATTCATTTTGTCCCGCTTAACGATTATTATAATTTAAGTCTTAGAATTTAATTTTTAGAGTAAAATTATTCTCCAAGAGTTATTGTAATAAATATTTTTATTTCTTTTTTTAAAAAATACGTTGATTAAAGTAATCAGAAAAGGAGAATGCAAATTTAACGACACCTTTGAGATTTAAAGATTGTTTGGTTTAAGTTGAAAATGTAATGAGACTACTGGAATCATTTGCGTGAGTAATATGACTCGTAAAGACTTTAAAGACTAAATCCCTACAGTCCTACAGACAATTTATTAGATTAGTTTTTTCCCTTTGCAAACGAAAGTAAAACCTCCCTTATGTCTACGAATTTTTTTAAAATCACTTTATCAGAAATATTTATTTAAAAAAACAAATTCAAAAGTTTTTTCCCTCTTTTCAATATACTTTTTAATTTCCAAAGAATTTTCTTTTTTCATAATTTTAAGAATTATGTTTTGGACTTAAAAAAGAATATTTTCAGTAAAATATTCCAGAATATTTACAGAAAAATGTTATCCCTTAATTTGCTTTGGTTTCCTAGTAACCTTCGTCGAAATTAAAAAGAAAGCTATTTTTACAAAAAGAAAACCAGATTATTGTAAAAAATATGCTAAATTTCCTCATTTAAATAAATAAATGTTAAAAATAGGTAAATTTACCCGTTAAGGTAAATAACCTAAAGTGACACAATAACGTTAAACTTAAAATTTATTGTTTAAAAACTTTATAAATTATATGTTTAAAACAAAATGGGACGAATACCAATGAGTATTATCAGACATTTTATTTAACTCCTTGAAGTTTATCAGTGAAGGCCAACAATAAATAGTTTTACATACATTTACCATTTGTTTTGTACTAGAGCTTGTCTTTGCATATAGTATTCAATATTGAAAACTGTTCAGACACTTCAACTTGTTCTTCATTCCTTCTGTTTTCATTATGAAGAGAATAAGGAAATTTTATAGAAAAACTTTTGGCTGTCATTCTGATCGAGATGAAGAACTTCCAGAAATGGTATAAAATTTAAATTTCACTAATTGTTTTGTTTTTCTTTTGAATTTTCCGTTTTCAATTCATTTTAAAAGGTATAATTATTTTAGTGGATTATTTTTTTTTTTGCTGTTTTATTTATCATAAGTGAAAATTAATAAAAAAAAATTTATTGTTCTTTGTATACGTGGCTAATAACTTAATTTTTTTGTATAAAGTATCGTTTTCAAGTTTCGCCTCTGGAATATTTTTGCTAAACATGTTTTATCAGCATCTTTCTCTGTAAATAGGTAAGACAAAAAAAAAACGTGATTCTGATTTATTATTATTTCTACAGTGTCTATTGTGAAGAATTTGGTTTTTTATTAAAACGAGATATTTTTGAAACAAAAAGAAATAAATCTAGATAAAGATGGGGTTTTTTTGAGTAATGTCAACTTCAAGTTTTTCAGTAAAATGGCCGAAATTTTCTTATTTGTGATTTTTTAAAGAATTTTTATTAAAAATATGTTTAAAAACGATTCTATAAAAAATGTTAATGTTATTTTTTATACTTATTCTTTATATTAAAATAATTTTAAAAAAAAATTATTTTCAATTTTACAAAATTCCAATTTCTAAAATTTTTTAAATTTTATTATATCGTAAAAAAATTTTCAAATGTATAATTTTGAATAATTTGTCTGTAGTTATTTTTCACACTATAAAAATCGAAATAAGTTGCATTTATGGTATTTTGTTGCAATATTTGGAAGAAAAGTCGCAATTTTAAAAAAAAAAGTCGCTTCATCATCGAAAAAAAATTGTTCACGTGGTATATGAACGACCCTAAATAATTTTTTAAAAATTTTATATCTGTCAAAATAATCCGTTTTCAGTACAACTTAACTTGAAAATTAAAATTCTATGTTAAATAAAAAAAAATTGTTGACTCCCGATAAGTGTCTCAGGCTTCACAGTCTGTCCCCTATTTTCCTAAAAGTGCCCTTTTTTAATTTTTGCCCCTAAACGTACCCTATTTTCAAAATTCCCCCTATTTTTTTTCTTTTATTTTTTAATGATGCATTTACACCAAATCTAGCAAAGTGCCGTTCAAACTTTTGTTTTGAAAGTTTCAAATCTTGAAATTTTTCATGAAATTTATAAAATTTGTAACATATTTTGGTGAAGTCAAGTCTCAATTATATTCAAAAGTTGGTTGTTTTTTTTAATATTATTTAAGTATTACAAAAGTTTTAATGCAATTATATTGATAAATAACAAAATTCTTCACAGAAATTCAATAATTTTTAGGAATTTTAATAAAATTCTTTAAAAAATTTAATTATTTTCAAAAATTTATAAAAATCTTTGCAAAAGTTCAATTACTTTCAAAAGATTTTCGCAATTGAATGTTTTTAAATATTTACTATTTTCATAAAATTTACCAACGAATTTAATTATAGAAAAAACTTGTTTATACAATATTCTACGAAACGATTCAATTATTTTTATAAATAATAAAATTTCATTTACGAATTCAATTATTTTCATCGCAGAATTTCAAATATTTTTAATTGAAAAATGCAATTATTATTAAAATTTTTTTTTAAACTTGAGAAAAGAATTCAATTTTAAAAAACATTCAATTATTCAATGAAACCAATTTTTATGGTCCGCTATCTGAAAGTCCCTTATTTTTTAATTTTCAGTCCCCTATTTCCCCTAAAATACTTTTAAGGGTCACTGTGAAGCGTGGTGTCTGATAAATTTATCGTATGTTTCTTATGGCTTGGATCAATTAATGCTTAGAATAATACAGTATAAATTAAGTTGAAGAATTTCAGTTTTCTCAACATTTTCTTTAGAAAAGCCGATAAATTTTTAACTCCCTGAGAAGCATATTTAATTTTTTTTTTTTTCAATTCAATTACGTAATTACTTCTTAAGTTATCTACTTTATTTTCGTAAGAAAATTTTTTTAGACGAAGATAATACCATTTATTTGAAGAAAATAAAAGAAAAAAATGAAAAATTGCGGAATTAAAGAAGATAATCCTCGACTTCTCCAATTCCATTTATTCGGGAAGTGCGTGTATTTCTAAAAGTAGCGTGTCAGATTATTGCGATGTATATGTATACACTCTCGTAGTATTGCAAATGTAACTCTAGCAACCGATCGAACCCTAAAACGGTTCTAGGGTTTCTTGAAAGAAGCCACTCCACAGCTCCGAGTTTCCTTCTCGATTCGAGTACTCGAACCACACGAATAGTTACAAGATGGATCATGTAGAAAAAATAAACCCAGACGGTAGTTCTCCGGACACACTTATTGGCCAATCATCACCAGAGGATGATCGAAAACGGCAAATGACGAGTTTCTCTGCCGAAAGTCTTAATACAGCCGCAACTGGTGACAGTAGTTCCAGTTTGGAGACAATTGTCGGTGTCGGTATGGAGGCGAAGAAAAAGGGTAGATTCGGTTCATTGAAAAGCAGTTTCCGTAAAGAGGGTGGCTTATTTAGAATGAAGAAGAAAAAGAAGAAGCATTTTGACGATGAACCCTCCCATCAATATCCTCATAGTGAACAGAGCTCGAAAGGTTATAAAGAATTCCAAGTTGAAAATATCTCTTCCATCCCTCTCTCTATGCATGTTGAGTCTTTTGAATCTGCATTACGTTTTGGATTTTTCTATTTTGTATGTTGTTGACATTACTTTAGTGCTTTTGTTGCTGTCAACTATTTTCTAGTTCCTATGCTATTCTCTGATAAAGTACGAATGCTTGCTGTGAAATCAGTAGTAGAAGCAACTATTAAAATTGATTTTTATTCAAAACAAAACAACCTTCCTCAACCTTCCTCAGCCTTCCTCAAGGATCTTAGGCAATTTCATTATGTTTCTAGCGAATGTTTGCTTCATCTTATTTTTCCTCCATACTATAATATTTTACTGTTTTGCTTAATACTCCTTTTTGCTTCCTTTCTCTTAAATTGTTTGTGGCAACCCTGTATAAATAAATTATATTTTTAGCTTTATTTAACCAATTTTTATGGTTCCCTATTTTTTAATTTTCAGTCCCCTATTTCCTCTAAAATACCGAAAATACTTTTTAGGGGCACTGTGAAGCCTGTTGTTATTAATATAACCTTTTTAACACATTTTAATTTGTTGTTTGGTATACTTTTTGTCCCCTTTTTCTTATTTGCACCTTCTTTTTGAGTATAGAAAAAGTACTGTGACGTCTGTGTTTGCCAAAACGTAATGAATGTTTCAAAATGATTTTACTTTCGTGGTCTGTTTATATAATAAACCGTTCCTGCTTCTTACTTTTTGTAAAAATTCTGTACTGCTTTAAATTTTACAAATTTTGTCTTCAATAATCTCTTCTCGTTGAGACTAATTTAGAAGAATGATAAAAGATTGAAGATCATTATAAACATTTCAGTTTGTAAAGATACAAACTGAAAGTACAAAATTTGTAAAAAGAATCGGAGTATTCAGGAATAAAAATATTAATTTTCGATATTCAGACATGCATATTAATGTCTCCCTCGTTCCTTTTCTCGCTTTTGCACCACATTTGAATGGCGACGATGAAGACCCCCAGAGAATACTTCCAGAGGAGAAGAAGAACCAACAGCAGCAGGTACAGCATGAAGATGTGGGCAGTAAATCGAGGCAAAAGAAGCCAAAAAAGGCGCATTCGTTGGTACGAAAATTGAGTTTGAGTAAGTTCAAGACATTGCCGGAACCGGAAACGAGACACACGCCCGAAGGTGGTGACAGTAGTCGATCGTTGAGTCAGTCGTCGCAGGAGTCGACGAGTCGCTTGGACAGTTCGCCGACGTTGACCCCGAGGAAGCAGGAGTCGGTGGTTCAGGAGAAATGGTCGACGTGCTCGTTGCCGGGAGCGACGCAGGAGAAGTCGACAGTGAGCGAGAGGGAGGGCAAGAAAGGGGAACAACAGACGGTCCAGCAGAAATCCGAGAAGCTGATCGAGAAACCGGTGAGCACTATCACTGTAGTGCAACGCAAGTCGCCTTCGTTGACTATCAAAATCAGCAACTTGCAAGAACGAACACTCAAATTGCAGCAATACGGTGAGAGAAACTAAACAAAAAATAGAAATCAAGTTCGATCACAATTTCATCGAAAATTAACAAAACAACTGTAGACCACATTTTGTCTTTTCATTTCGTGGAATTATTTCGCGCCTTATCGATTAATCGATCGATCATGAGTCTGAGATTCTCTAGTTCTTTTATTTTCGAAAAAATTATATCAATATTGTGGATATTTTCATTTTAGAATATGGACAGGTATCTAAGTTTGTCAATCTATTCACTATTTTTAATTTTTTTCACCTAATTTACCTGATTTGTTCATTACAGTTAATAATTTTGAAAAATGAACCCTCTTTCGAATTCGATGCGTCTTCAAAGTAATGAAGTAAAAAATTATAAATACCAGATTGTTACTTTCATCAAAGAAAATTTGGATTAAATTGTGTTAATTTAGCTTATTCAAACTGTGATGATTTAGTGTTTCATTGTGCTTAGAAAGTATTAAAAAAAAAATTACAGTTCCAAATTCAAAAATATGTTGAGGACCAAAAATACTATGCATCCAAAATTTAAAACAAAATTTTCTGCTAGATAGTTGTGGGTGAGTGAAAATGAAGTAGAAAAATTTGATATTCCTCAGAAATTAAAGAAAAGAAATTAAAATTGTTTTTTTATTCATTGCTTGCAAATATCAAATTTATAAAATAAAACAGGGTGACCGCTGGACTAGAAATTTTTTTCTTGGTCGGGAATTTGAATTTTTTTTTCTTAAAAAGTGTTTTTTTTTTAATAAAAACACATGGTTATTTTGTGAAAAAAATCGAAATATTGAATTTAAAACTTATTATTTATATTTCATTGTAAAAAAATTGAATGTTCTTGTATATAAACGTTTTATTTTGTAAAAAAAAATTTTTTTTTTAATTTTTTAAAATTACCAAATACAAAATTTAAAAATTCTTTACTGGAATTCAATTATTTTCCATGTAATTCTAATAAAATTTCTCAAAAGAATTTATTTATAACATTTTCATTATTTTTAATTACAAATGCAATTGAATTCCTTAAAAAAATTTAATTATTTTCACAAAATTCCCATAAAGTTCTTTAAAAACTTTATTTTTTGAAAATTTTAATAAAATCCTAATAAAACATTAAATTATTATTTTAGATTTAAAATTATGAAAAGTTATAAAAATTACAAAAAGTAATATAAAAATTAATATAAAATGTTATTAAAAATGTTTACATTTTAAAATCAAAAAAATTTCACATATAAAATAGTGAAAAGTAAATTATTGAAAAAATAAATTTTTAAAAAACCGTATTTTGCATTTTAATTCTCATTTTTTTGAAATTTTTTATAATTTTAAATGTATATTATTGAATTGAAAAATTTTCAAATTATTCAAAATTTTATGAAATTGTCTTGTTTCTAAAATCTACTTGATTAAGTAGATTTTAGAAATATTTCAGTTTTTGGTGAACTTTTTTTGAAATAATAGGAATTTTTAAGGAACTTTCTAAAAAAATATTAAAAGTAATTGATTTAGAGAAGACTTTAAGTTTAAATTTCTAAAAAAAATAATTAAATTGAAATCTTGAACATAATTTTTATTTTCAAAATTTCAATTTTTCTTTATGACAAGGAAAAATAATAAGAAAATATTGGAGGCAAAATATATTTTTATACAAAGACACTAAAAAAAAATTTTATTCATATTTTTATACCATTAATATTAAAAATTTATTTTCAAGTAAATTTTATTTAACTTTTGTTTTTTCATGTCTCTTACATTGATAAAAAGAAGATTTCTATTTGTAAACATTACTTAAAGTTGCAATTTTTAAGTTCATTTGGTAGGCAAATAATTGAATTGGACACTCGGCTTTAATGATCGATCGTTTATATCTTCTTCATCTTCTTCTTTTTCAAAAAACTTAAAAAAAAAAAAAATTTGTCAACAACTTTCTAATTTTGCTCATCTATTTTTAATCGCTGCATAATAGTTAATTTTTTCTGATTAAAATTGAGAAAAATGTTTTTTTAATAAGCCCCGCGGTTTTGTCTATATCCTGGTTATTAGTTAATTAGTAATTAAAATTGAACCAATTTAAATAGTGATTAACTTTTAACAAGGTTTAGCATAACTGGAAATTTGAACAAGTTTATTTAATTTAGTTATTTAGTTTATTTCCAACTTTATTTATTTAGTTTAAAAAATATAAACAATTTTATTATTGAAATCTAGTAGCAATTTTTATTGTTTTTATGAAAACGAAAATGTTTCTTAAATCGATTTGTCCGTTTAGAATTATTATATATTTTATTCACTTGCCTATGTTTGTTATAATATTTTAATAATAAATTGAACGAAACGAATAAATTTAACTCTAGACTCCATAACTAGAGTAGATTCGTAATCAGCGACCCCAAAAACCCCCGAGTAATAAGTTTCAAGCAAATCCGTTAGATTTTAAATATTTTCGTCCGCCATGTTGGATCCGACATTTTGAATTTTTTAAAACTGACTTTAGATTCATAATCGGCGACCTCAAAGACCTTTAATTAAGTTACGGCTGTTTTTTTTTAAGTCATATATTTCGATTTTCAGTAACAATTTTTTGAAGTCATCAAAAAATTAAAATTGCAATTATCTCTAAAACCTGACTTGTAGTGAATTTACCTTAGAAATAAGTTTTGGTTGCTCGGGTCCAAGACCTTCTAAATCTGTGGAATTTATTTATTTAATAAAAAGTATTAAACAACATCTGGATTTAGTGCCCCAGTTAGACATAAAGTCAGCTATGTTAGGGAGTCTAGAGTTAGAACCTTCCATTAGAATGTTTCCCCGCTTTTCTAAATATCAAAATAATTTAACAAATTGAATTATTAATTTAATGATTATTTATGTAATAAAAATGAAGTAATCTAAAATAGCCAGTGGCAAGCATAGGCAATGTGGAATATATTTTGGAATACAAGTACATCTTCCACTGAAAGAAATAGGCCAATATCGTCTGACTTACACGGTTCTCGCTTATCGTTCTTCCCCGGAACTCGGTTTTGCGTAGACCCTCCAAATCCGGAAAAGCACCTTCAGACGGTACCGGAAGTTAAATCGACAGTTCTTCCTCGCGCGATACCGGATGCATCTTCTGCTCACGAGAGTCACGAGGTGTCCAAGAAGGCAAAACTCGCGATTAAATCTGAATCGGAATCCTGCCCGTCATCCTCCTCATCGAAGACGTCGCCGCTGGAGCCGCGTCGGAAATCACTTTTGGAGGAAAAACGTGCCATTTTCCAGCGGCGTCGCTTCGATTCATCATCGAGTACATCTGATGATACCATGATCGCTGTCACAGTAGACGAGGACGCAACGAGAAGAAATCTAGACCACCATCCGAGGCCAGAGTTCAAAGAGGAGAAAAGCAAAAAGACAGCGAGACACATCAGCGTTCGGAAATTCGATACATTCTCAACATTCGAAGGTACATTCGACGAGGACACTGGCGTTGGATATCTTGCTGGCATCGAGGAGGACTATCGCGAAAGTTGCGAGAAGCAGACCGACAGTTTTGCCAGTTTACAGGAAGACATGGCGCACGCCATCTCCGAAAACCCCGAGAAATCCAGATCTATTAGCCAGGACAGTGCGGTGAGACTTTTATACATTACCGCACTTGCACTTGTTACTTCTCTTGCACCTTTGTAATTTATTGCTATCTCTAGTACAGCAGCAGCACCGAAAACTATGGGTCATTCAAGAGCAAAAGGCTTTATGCAATCCGCTGTTTGGGAATGGGAATAAACTCCTGTATCAATCTCTAGCTTGTTATTGTCTTACCCAAAAGTAGAGTAGATGATTATTTCGTTTAGTTTCTCACAACTTTCTAATCTAAAGTAATTGGTTATTTCTGATGTTTCATCATCCACTTCACACATTCTGCACCTAAGTAATATTTGTAATTATTCATTTTGTTTTACGCTCATCTTTTGATCTACAATTTGCTTACTAGTGTATTCCAAGAAAATTCTTATTAACCATCCTTCATCCTCACAGAGAAAAACTGAACTCAAAATGAGTCGTAAAAGTGACTCATTGTGAGCTGCAACAAAAATGAACCTCGCAGATGGCGCCACGTTCTATGTCATTTAACATAGACTCATTTTGAGTTGCAACAAAAATGAGTCCGATTTTTTTCTGTGCTTGCTAATGAGTACAGTCGGGTCCCCATACTATTACATTCCGAATTGTTATGCTCCCAGTAGCGTTATATTGCTTAACCATCACCAAACTCAGAAGTGTTTACCGATGACCTTAAATTTTTCAAAACAATAACTTGTAATCAGGACCTTTATGATCTTTAATTCGATCGTAGTCTTGTTGATTGAGCGTTCAAAAATAAGTTTTTCTTTAACAATAACAAATGTTTTATTATCACATTTAAAAGGAGTTCAAATAAATAAAAATATAACTACGCCATTTCCATTTGGCAACAAAATTCTTTCTAGAGTTTCTACGATTCGGGAACTGGGAGTTTTACTTGACACAGCATTCGATTTTAAATCTCATATCTTATTAATAATTAATAAAGCAACGAGGACTTTCGGCTTTGTTACCAGAAACATGACTAGCTTCAAAAATATATTGACAATGAAAGTTTTATGTTTTTCATTAGTCAGACCAATTGTAGGGGAACATTGGTCGCTTTGACTTTTGTTTATAACTTTTTTTGTTAAATGAATTTGGTCAATTGAAGTATATTGTTGAAAAGTCCTGTGTAATAGAAACACTTTTGCTAAACAGGGTAAATTGATTAGTTTTAAAATTAGTCAAGGTTGGCCCATGTTCTCAAAATTATGAGCTACTCAACGAAATGTTCTATTAAATTTATTTTTAATGTTTTAACTCACTTGGTAACGTCAAACGTTTGGCAACGCCGAATTATTTCTAACCTGTGATAAAAATTATCATTTAAATTTCGCGCTCAAATTTAATGTGTATAGTGCATGCAACGTTGCCAAACGTTATAAGTGTTGTTTATATTTTCAGATGAAACGTAAATTTTGTTTACAAATTGATTTATTGTAAATCGCACAGGTACCTATTGACAATTGTTTTAACAGATATGTAATTATTGCATATCGGTTTAGTATTGAAAAAATTTAGATCAATATCTGTTCATTTAATACTTTGCAGTTTGTAAATATATATGACAAACTACTCAATTCCCATAAGACTCAATGTTAAATGTTGAAAATCAAAAATGTTTATAACTTTTTTCATAGGTACCTAGAGGTCACAAAAATTTAACTACGCCTTCATATTAACTTTATCTAGTTGCTCATCAAGTTTCATCAAAATCTGTTCATTAAATCAATTATCGATAGAACCTCCTTAAGATGTTCAAAAATTTCAAATTCAATCCTTCTCAAATTGAACAACTCTTAAGAATATTATTATAAAACACAAACATGACCGACTGACAAAATCATTATTTTATTATTATAAGAATATTGTTACTGTAATTTCTTCAAAATTATTTGTATCATTTTTCAATTCAATTAACATTTTCTAAAATTTTTAACTAAAATTCTACTTTAAATCAATAACATCAATTATTATTCAATTCAACTTTTTTTAAAAAAAAGTAATTCTACAGAATTGTTAGTAAAAAGTACGAAAAATAATAATTTAATTCTACGAGAAATCAATTTTTGAATACAAAAAAAATAATATCGAATTTTTCTTATAATTTAATTTTTACGAAGAATTGCATTAACAACTTTTGAAAATATTTAATTTCTTTTAAGGAATTTAATTAAAATTTTAATAAAATTTATTATATTAAAGAATTTTATAACAATTTTTGAAAATAATTGAAAACTTTTTAAAGAATTTTATTAAATTCTTTAAAAATAATTGAATTCTTCAGAAGAATTTAAATAATAATTTTTGAAAATAATTGAATTCACGAGAAGAATTTTATTAAAATTTTTGAAAATAATTGACTTCTTGACAGGAATTTTTAAAAAAATTTTGACAATAATTTAATTCTTGAGAAGAATTTCCTTATCTATTTATAACGATAATTTAATTCTTGAGAAGAATTTTTAAAAAAATTTTGACAATAATTTAATTTCTGCAAAGTATTTAATTACTTTTCAAAAAAATTGAATTCTTGTGATGAATTTTGATATTTATCAAAATAATTGAATTTTAGAAAAGAATATTATTAAAATTCCTTAGAATAATTGATTTTATGGGAAGAATTTATGCGATTTTGTTGTTTAGTTATTTATCAAGCTAATTAAATTCTTTTGCAAAATTACTTAAAAATTTTTGAAAATAATTGATTATTTGCGACGAATTAAATATCATTCATGAAAATATTTAAATTATTCCAACGAATTTTATTGTTTTATTGAATAATTGAACGTTTCTTAAAATTGAATTCTTTCCTCAAGTTTCAAAAAAAAATTTTAACAATAATTGATCGTTTCGTAGAATTGTATAAACAAGTTTTTTCTATAATATTAAATTTGTTGATAAATTTTATGAAAATAGTAAATATTTAAAAACATTGAATTGCGAAAAGCTTTTGAAAATAATTAAAATTTTATTTAAATTTTTGAAAATAATAAATTAAATTTTTGGCGAAAAATTTTGCTATTTAGATTTAGAAAAATAATTGAACTGAAATTTTGCCAAGAATTTAATTAAAATTTTTGACAATAATTGAATTCTTGAGAAGAATTTTGATAATTATCAAAATAGTAAGTTGAATTTTGTAAAGAATTTTATTAAAATTCCTAAAAATTATTGAATTTTTGTGAAGAATTTTGTTATTTATCAAGACAATTGCATTAAAACTTTTGTAATAATTAAATAATATTTAAAAAAAACAACCAACTTCTAAGCATAATTGAGACTTGACTTCACCAAAATACTAATCTCACAAATTTTATAAATTTCATCGACCATAAATTTGAAGATTTGAAACTTTCAAAACAAAAGTTTCAATTTGCAAAATTTGGTGTGAATTTATCATCAAATCAAAATATAAGAGAACAACTTTTTCAACTTAAAAGCCTTAAAGTCAATCCGAAGCCTGTAGTAAAAAAATTTAAGATTTTTTCAAATATCGTGAATATTTTATTAATAAATATCAATTGATTTTCCATCATAAAATAAACAACCTTCTTTATAGTCACAAGTTTTCATATTCAACCAAAAATATTAATTTCTATCAGAAACATGTCCACGTGGACGCAGTTATTGAAGGGTGGAGTTGTCAAAAATCCACGATTGTCCACGATGGGGGTTGGGATATCAAAAAGTGAATTGCTTTTGGTTTATATATAATTTTATAAATTTTGTTATAAATTTTCATTAAAATCGAAAATCTAGGGAAACAACTTTCCCATAATGTAATTTGATAACATTGTCAGAATTTTCTGAAAATTCACCTGATCGAAAGTAGTGTCCTGTTTGAAATATTTGTATTACGTACTGTTTAATGATGCATACATTATATTGAGAGTTGGTTTCTGTTATGTATATATGTAATGACTTTCACTTATACAGTATTGCAGAGGTCATTGTGCAGACAAGGCTAGTAGATGGTAACGAGATTATGATATCGAGCACACTGATCATTTGGGTTATATGATCTAGACACACATATATAGACTCTATTATTAAGTCCTCTGGTGGGAAAATGTTTGATTCAACCATCCATAGAGTTCGTTTTCTCGAACGAAAGTCTAGAGGGGTTCAAAATGAAAGTTCAAAAAAAGTAAGAACCTTGACAAATTTTCGTATCATTAAAATTCATTCCTTTTTTTTATTTATTTGAAGAGTTGAAGCCAAAATTGATAAATTGAATTTATTGTTTGGAGAAAATAGATGCGCCAATACTACTTTATTGGGAATGTAGAAAGAATTTTCGTTTTTAGTATTTGAAGAAATGTTTGTAAATGAAATGTTTGTTTAAAAGAGTTGTTATTTTTGACAATTTGGAGTGTCAGTTTTCCGTTAGGCGTATCGAATTTTAATCAATACACAAGTGTTTTTGCACACACGCCATCATAGGAAATGTAGGCAGTCGTTGAATGGACCCTTTGCATACTTATCCTTAATCCGAATAGAATCCTTTGCCGAGTTTCCGGTAGGGAGCTTGTAAGTCATCTCTGTCGGCGGAGATATGGAAAGCATTTTGCCACGAACGGAAAATACCAAAGTCTATTCTTTCACATCGCAGATTACTTTCATTTGACGATTCGATGAGACGCCTTTAACTTATTAATGTTCTGGTATCATCGTACTCTGCAATTGCGTTCTGCCAACGCAAGTGAGACGGTGCCAGTTCATCAAGTGGCGCTCAGCAATTTATTTCTTTCGACAAAGTAAAAGTGCTAAAAAGATTTTTTGGATAATTGTTCGTGAATCTGCGCAATGAACTTGGACGATAAGAAATGGCGAAGTCTGGCAAAATTCGAATTTGCAAATTGGAAATTTGGAAATTCCAAGTGGCAGTGGTTGGGGGTTGGTGTTTATATTATTCAAATTTCTATTCAGTGTCTCAAGGAATACTAATTTTAATTACAATCCAATCTCTACAGGAAGTAAACAGTTCGTTCAATTTTTTATTTTCACAATTTTAACAATTTGGACAAATTTTTTATTTTTAAAATCTATATCTATATCTATCTAAATATTGGAGAAAATTAAAAATATTTTATATTTCAAATTTTATACTTTATTATTAATAATATTTTATTTGAAAATTTGTTGCAATTTGATGCTTGATAAAGATGCAATTTGATAATAATCAGCTAAAAACAGTACGTATAAAATATTTCATAAAACTTTGTTGATACTTAAAAATAAATCTTACTTTCATTCCGGTTTTGACTAAAATTGTTTTGATTAGAACCATTTCGACTGAATTTTAATTTAGCCTTTAAAGTCGAAAATAAATAAAAAATTATTAATATATTTTAAGTCAAAAATAAAATCGACTTAATCTTCTATAAATTTAAAAATAAGATAATTTTCAATCGTATTAGTTTGAAGATGTAGTTTTCAGATTTTGTTTTTTCTGAAATGGAAACTGAAAGTGTAGAAAATTTAACGAACTTTCTTTCTGTCTGTGATTTATTTACCTGTGCAAAATTTCTCAAGTGTACCAACCTTAACAGGGTCGCCACAAAAATTCAATTTTTTCTTCTTCTGACTTTTCCCTGATTTTCAAAAATTTCAAATTCAAACCTTTTTGAAATTAAACAATATTTATAGAAAAAATTGTTGTAAAACATGAAGATTTCTTTTTATAATTTCTTTTTATAATAATTGTAATATTTATTTTTTATAATTCGTTTTTTATTTTTTATAATAATTAAAGATGACCGAGTGTATTTCTTTATTTAATTTAATTAGTGTAATTATTTTATATTATAAGAATATTGTTACTGTTACTTCTTTAAAATAATTATATCTTCATCATTTCAATTTAATTATTATTTTCTAAAATTTTCAACTAAAATTCTTCTTTAAATAAATTATTTTTAATAATTTTTGTAAAAGTTCTTCTTTGAGAACTTTTAAATCCATTTGTTTACAATTCAATTGCACGTGAAATTTCAATTATTCGCAAATTCTTAAATTAAATATACATTAGAAAATAAAAACTTTAAATAATTTTAAAAAAAATTCAATTAAAGTTTTTCAAAAAAAAATTAATTCTTCAGAATTGTTAGTTAAGAGTATGAAAAATTCCGATTTTCAGAAATTTTAATTTGAAATCATTTCAAAATTCAATTATTTCTAAAAATTTACGGTACAATGTTTCTAGTATTCAATTATTATGAAAAATTTTAACTGAAATTCATTTTTAAATTAATTTTTATTAGAAAATTCTACAAGAATTCAATTATTTATATATTCAAAAACAAAATAATTTATTAAATAATTCAATTCTTGGGACAAATTTTAATAAAACTTTTAATAAAAATTACATTTTTCGAAAAATTTGATTAACATTGTATTTAAAAAAAATTGAAATTCTGCGATGAATTTTCTTATTTATGAAAATAATTGAATCCCTGTAAAAAATTTTATTATTTATGAAAATAATGGTATTATTGCAAAGAAATTTAAAAAAAAATGTAAACAATTGAATTTCTGCGAACTTTTTATTATTTATGAAAGTAATTATAAATGTTTGAGAAGAATTTTATGAAATTTTTTTTATATATAATTGGATTTTTTGCAAAATTTTATTAAAATAGTAGATATTGAAAATCATTGAATTGAGGAAAATGTTTGAGAATAATTCCAATTTTGCTAGGAATTTTATTAAAATTTTTCAAAATAATTGAATTCCTGCGAAGAATTTAATGTCAAATTTTAAAACATTTGATTTTTTTTGCAAAAATTTATGGAAATTCTATTTTAAATAATTGAAATCCTCTGAAATTTTTATTTTTTTGGAAAATAATTCAATGTTCGTGTAAAATATTATTATCAAAATATTGAAAATCATTGAATTAAGAAAATTTTTTAAAAACAATTGAAATTTTTCTATGAATATTATTAAAATTTTTGAAAATAATTGAATTCTTGTGATGAATACTAGGTATTATTTATGAAAATAATTGAATTATGCTATTTATAAAGATAATTGAAATGTTGACGAGAATTTTTTTAAATAATTGAATTTCAGAGAAGAATTCTATAAAGATAATTGAAATTTTGACGAGAATAATTAAAAAATTTTTAACATAATTGAAAATGTTCCAAGCAATTAAAAATTTTAATGAAAATATCTTCTGGAATGCCGCATATATACACTTCTATTCTGTTTAATAGCTTAAAAATATTTTATTTCAAAAAAATTTAATTTTAATTGAAAGTACTTATTGAAAAGAACTCTTTAGTTTGGATAATTAATTATTATTAAAAATTGAAATTTAATTTTCATTTAAAACAAGATTAGTTTAATAGAGTTCAACAGCAGCAAATTCTTTATCGAAACAAAACAACACTCTTTATATTTACCATATGATAAGAATAAAAAAATTTTTAACTTTAAAATTATTTTTAAGAATGAGTTTTATTGTAATATTTATAAATTACTTACATTCAAAAATTTACTATATTAAAGATTTATTTTATTTTTTGAAAAAATTTCTTTATTAGAAAACATTTTTAGGACTAAAAATAGTAAAGTATATTTCCTTTTTGTCAAGACATGAATATTTTTTTCTACATAAGAGAAATTGACACGATTGGAGTAATTATTGTCCGGTATACTCAATGATTGACAGTTTTATATATTATCGCAAAATAAAAAAAGGCAACAAAAATAAAAAACTTTTTCTACTTTATTTGATTACTGAATAATTTTGCTTGTCAATAACTTAGGAGTTTTGAATAAAACTAAAAAAATTTTTTATTAACAAAAGTTAATCTTCAGGACTAAAAAACATAAAAGAATTTCTTAGAAAATTTAAATAAAAAATTAATATAAAATAAAGTTAGGAAGATTAATAATTTATATGAAAATAATATACCACTATGGGTAAAGACACATTACTTAAACGTCGACACTTTTGTTAATAAAAAAATTTTTTTAAATAAAAAAAAATAAAAAAAGTGAATAAATAATTTTACATTGATTGAATGTAAAATAATTAAATGACCTATTAAATGTTAAGAATTAACAAAAGTACTTGAAATTTTGTTACGGATTAGACAACATAGTATGCAGTTTTATCTCTATTTTAATATAATTTTCCAAGCATATTTGACAAAAGAAAGAAATTGTATTAAAAATAAATGACGGTGCATAAAGTGAAACTATAAAAAAGTGCGGAACACATGATTAGATTACTGTTCTAAATTTGTCGACAAATGGAATAATAACACCTGTCGGACACTGTAGTTAATTTACTTGAATAATTATCCTTGGCTTATAAACTCTTATGTATCTTTGGCCATTAAAAAATATTATTTAGTAATACCTTTTCCAAATGGTTAAGCGGCAGAGCGTCCATCGAAATTCAAAATTCTTGAAAATTTATCTTTTTCACGAAAAATAATTTTTTCTAGATTCTTTTTTATTCCTATTTTAGGTCAAAAAGAAACCTTCTTACAGGTTTAAATTTACACTTGATGGATACTTTTAGTAATTTAATTTTTTTCTGTTATTTCGAATTTTTATTAATTATGTATGTTGTTTGGTATTAAAATACTTTGCAGTACTTCATGCTTTTAAAAAATTTTCTGTGTAATTGTATATATTATAAATATGAATATCATTTTCAAATAAAGATATTTTTGTTTAACATTAATTATTATTTTGTTGTTACAGTCGTCGCAAAATAATGTGCCGAATTCCGGATTGGGAGAGAAACGAGAACACTTGTATAAAATTTTAGTGATTGGAGAACTTGGCGCTGGTAAAACGTCCATAATCAAAAGATACGTTCATCAATTCTTCTCGCAACATTACAGAGCAACAATCGGCGTTGATTTTGCACTTAAAGTTCTTAACTGGGATCCACATACAATCATAAGACTACAATTATGGGATATCGCAGGTTTGTCTCTACTCATTTTTTGCATCGCATTCTTTTCTAATTAATTTATACAATCCAAAGAACTGACAATAATCTGTGATGTCATAATGGTTCAAATGATCTTATAAAGAAGGATTTTTGTAAAAAAAAATTCTAAGAAGCGTTTAATTAAATTTTGGTAGAATTAGTGTTGTGATTTTTAGAAAAAATTAATTTTTAGAAGATTTCAAAATTGTAATTTTTAAAAATATCAATTCTTGTTGCGAAAGTAGTTAACTTTTTTTTTGGATTTAAAAAAAATCTTTGTAAATTGATAAGGAAATTTTAGTTTCGAATTTTGAGGGTGAATTCAAATAAATAATTGTCATTCCTAATTCCATTGTGAAGAATTTGATCATCATGATGTTTTAACACACAAAGGGAAAGTCGCTTCACTTCCTGACTTCTTGCCTAATCGTCTGAGACCGTCGCGCAGGAAAGTTAGCTTGTTTTCTATATGTATATCGCATCGTTTGACGAAAGTGCATCGTGAGAATTGGTTCTCGCACAATAGCTAACTTGTTGAATATTTTTCACCTTCAGTGACTGTAAAATATTTTTTAACGCTGAAGGACAAATATTTTTTTTTTCAAGAACTTTTTTTATGGTCTTTTTCTATACGCATAATCTTAAAGTTCAGAATCCAAAATTATTGCAGGCTTCATAGTCTGTCCCCTATTTCCCTGAAAATCCCCTATTTTTAATTTTGGCCCCTAAACGTACCCTATTTTCAAAATTTCCCCTATTTTTTTCTTTTATCTTTTAATCATGCATTAAGACCAAATTTAGCAAAGTGCCATTGAAACTTTTGTTTTGAAAGTTTCAAATCTTGATATTTATTATCGATGAAATTTTTCATGAAATTTATACAATTTGTAAGATTTGTATTTTAGTGAATTCAAGTCTTAATTATGTTTAAAAGTTGGTTGTTTTTTTAATATTATTTTTTAATTATTACAAAAGTTTTAATGCAATTATCTTGATAAATAACAACATTTTTCACAGAAATTCAATAATTTTTAGGAATTTTAATAAAATTCAATTATTTTCATAAATAACAATATTCATCCCAAGAATTCAATTATTTTCAAAAGTAATAAAATTCTTCAAAGAAATTCAATTATTTTTAATTATTTTTAAAAACTTTCACGAATATCTTGTCAATATTTCAATTATTTTTACAAATAGCAAAATTTTTCGCCAAAAATTCAATTATTTTCAAAAATTTATAAAAATCTTTGCAAAATTTCAATTACTTTCAAAAGTTTTTTTCAATTCAATAATTTTCAATATTTACTGTTTTCATAAAATTTATCAACAGATTTAATTAGAGAAAAAAACTTTTTAATACAATTCTACAAAAAGATTCAATTATTTTCATAAATAATAAAACTTCATTTACGAATTCAATTATTTTTATCGCAGAATTTCAAATATTTTTAACACAATTTTAAATAAATTCCTTAAAAAATGCAATCATTATTAAAAATTTTATTAAAACTTGAGAAAAATAATTCAATTTTAAGAAACATTCAATTATTCAATAAAACCACAAATTCGTTACAATAATTCAAATATTTTCATGAACAACATTTAATTCGTCGCAGAAAATCAATTATTTTCAAAAATTTTTAAGTAATTTTGCGAAAGAATTCAATTATCTTGATAACAAACAAAATTCTTCACAAAAATTCAATAATTTTTAGGAATTTTAATAAAATTCTTTACAAAATTCAACTATTTTGATAATTATCAAAATTCTTCTCAAGAATTCAATTATTGTCAAAAATTTTAATTAAAATTTTGTCATAATTTCAATTCAATTATTTTCATATATATCAACATTTTTCGCCAAAAATTCAATTATTTTAACAAATTTAAATAAAATTTTTTGCAAAATTTAATTATTTTCATAAATTGTAATATTCATCCCAAGAATTCAATTATTTTCAAAAGTAATTAAATTTTTAGAAAAATTTCAATTATTTTTAAAAAATTTTATGAATATATCGTCAAGAATTCAATTATCTTGACAAATAGCAAAATTTTTCGCAAAAAATTCAATTATTTTCAATAATTTATAAAAATCTTTGCAAAAGTTCAATATTTACTATTTCATTTACGAATTCAATTATTTTCATCGCAGAATTTCAAATATTTTTAATACAATTTTAAATAAATTCCTTGAAAAATGCAATCATTATTAAAAAATTTTTTAAACTTGAGAAAAATAATACAATTTTAAGAAACATTCAATTATTCAAAAAAACAATAAAATTAGATGCAATAATTCAAATATTTTTATAAATAACATTTAATTCGTCGCAGAAAATTAATTATTTTCAAAAATTTTTAAGTAATTTTGCAAAAGAATTCAATTATCTTGATAACCAACAAAATCGCATAAATTCTTCCGATAAAATGAATTATTTTAAGGATTTTTAAAAAAATTCTTTTCCAAAATTCAATAATTTTGATAAATATCGAAATTCATCACAAGAATTCAATTCTTTTGAAAAGTAATAAAACACTTTGCAAAAATTAAATTATTTAAAAAATTTTTTAAAAATTCTCGTCAAGAATTAAATTATCTTTATAAATAGATAGGGAATTTCTTGTAAAGAATTAAATTTAAAATTCTTCTCAAGAATTCAATTATATTTTTAAAAAATTGAATAAAATTTTTCAAAAAGTTTTCAATTATTTTCGAAAAATTGTAATAAAATTCTTTAATATAATAAACCTCATTAAAATTTAAATTAAATTCCTTAGAAGAAATTAAATATTTTCAAAATTTGTTAATACAATTCTTCGTAAAAAATAAATTTTACGAAACATTCAATATTATTTATTTTTGTATTTAAATAATTGATTTCTCGTAGAATTAAATTATCGTTTTTCGTACTTTTAACTAACAATTCTGTAGAATTAATTTTTTTGAAAAGGTTTAATTGAATAATAATTGATGTTATTGATTCAAAGTAGAATTTTAGTTAAAAATTCTAGAAAATGTTAATTGAATTGAAATGATATTTTTATTTAACTATTTTTTATGGTCCCCAATTTCCCCTAAAATACTTTTTAGAGGCACTGTGAAGCCTGTGATTGGATTTTTGAAAAATACAGAAAAGAATAAATTTTTTGAAGAATTTTAATTAGAAATTTTAAATATGATTGTTTTCTCCAAAATGTTAAAAACGATTCTGAAAAATTTGAATAAAATTTATGTCATAGTATATGATAATTTGGAAATTTAACATTTAGAAATGTGACGCACTCCCAAGAAAGGTACCTAAGAAGCAAAATTGTTAGGCTATGTTTATATTTTTTAAGTAAAAATACAGAAAGAGAATCAATTACTATTAAAAAAGATGATCCAATAGAAATATTGGTTTCAAATTTACATAATAAAAAATGAACTTTTAAGTAAAATAAATCTAATACAAACATACCCTATAATTCGTTTGCTTCTTAGGTATATTTAAAAATGCTTTTTTAAATAATCAGTTAAAGCACTTTGTAAATTAATTATTTTGCATTTGTTCCAACAGGACAAGAGAGGTTTGGAAATATGACGCGGGTGTACTATAAAGAAGCAGTTGGAGCATTCATTGTATTCGATGTGACGAGAAGTGCAACATTGGAAGCTGTAGTCAAGTGGAAACAAGATCTGGACTCGAAAGTTCAACTTCCCGATGGCTCGCCAATACCTTGTGTTCTTCTTGCGAATAAATGCGATCAGCAAAAGGAGGGATTAGTGAATACCCCTACGAAAATGGACGAGTATTGCAAAGAGAAGAACTTTGCTGGATGGTTCGAAACATCGGCCAAAGAAAATATTAATATTGAAGAAGCTGCTCGATTTCTCGTCAATAAAGTAAGTTTCCTCTTGCAAAAAAATAATCATTTAAATTGTTTTGATAAAGGTAATATTTTCTCCTTCTTTTTTCCAGATACTCCAAAACGATCAAATTCTTAAAGGTTCCGGATCCCAGGATCAAACCGATGGCGAGAGGTTTGCATTAAATCAATCTCCAACGAGTTCAAAAAAATCTTGCGCCTGCTGACGAAACTGTCTTGACAGTGAATATTCTTTCTTCAACAAAACGTCCTTGTACTTTATTATTTGAAAACTGTTTTAATAAGCCGATAATGAGCCACAACTAATTTGCATCTACTCAACGATTATTATAATTACACCATCCATGTACTTATGTATATATACGTATCTAGGGTCAGATTAGAATATACGTATGCATATACATACTTTTACGTATTTCTCTCGGTACAATTCTTTACTTTCGTTTCACGTGCCAGTTAGTCATATTTAATAATGTTCCAAAAAATCAAAAACTGATCCACTTAAAAGTACGAAACAATTGTTTTTTTTTTATTTAAATGAAATTATATAACGAAAAGAGAATCACAATTCCATTCAATGGTGCCTTAAATTCTTTCATAATATTGACTTTTTGATAAAAAAAAAATGTATGACAAAAGTTTTAAATGGAAAATTAATCAACGGATTCCACATTTTAGATGTTTTACATTTATACCTGTAACTTCCATATTGTAATATTTTTAAGATTTTTTATGAAGAAAAGTAACGAAGAATGGTGGTGGGTTTAAGTGAAGTGCCATTTATCCAAGCATAATTTATATAACCACGTGAACTATTAAATCACGAAAATTTTAATCATTTATTTATATCGATGAAAGTTCCATTTCTTACATGAATTTTAAATTTTATTTTAGAAAATTTCGAAATGTTAGAGAGAAAAAAAGTCAATTATTTGACACTCTTTATACCTATAAATGAATTTGTTTTAATTGTGAAAAATTTTTAATTTGCGATTTTTTATCATTGTTTTTCTACTATTTACAATTTTGTTTCTATGTTATATTCAATATACTACGTTTATGAATATTGTGAATGTGAATGAAATGAAATTTTCATGACATTCCAAAAGAAAATTATAAAAAAGTGTATATCTTGATTTTCTGATTTATTTTTCTCCGATATTAAGATGTATAATGAAATTAGGGAGACTTACTGTTAAGATTATTCTATTTGACTTTACTAACTGTTAATTTTACTCTAAATCTGTTCTTTTCTCCTTTGACTATATTAAATTGAAAATTAATTGTTAAAATAAAGAGAGCTTTTAGACTCGAGAAATACGTATATACTAAAAACTACGCTGTATTATTATGTAAGATAGCGGAATCTGTAAATATTTAAGACGTCTTATCTGTCTTCTTCTCTCTTTCACTGATTGAAAAAATCATTCTGTAATACATTTTCACTTTTATAAGCAGTATACGAAATGAAAAGCAGTCAAGTATTTAGAATGGTAGAATCCTGAGTGTATTTTGTTCCTTTATATATTGCGGTCGACGTAATTTTACTCATTTGACATATTGTATAGGCGCAATATTAAATTATATTCAATTGTTACTTTCATTGTTATTTTTTCACTTTTAATCCAAAAACTTTATTTCTGAAGGGGACTTTCTGGTCAAGGATTTCAAAGAATGAGATTTTTCTTTCTTTGGTTTAAAATGTTACTCAGTATCAAAAATCTTCAAAACAATTAAATTAGTTTCAAAAATATTAATAGAATTCTGAACAAAAATTAGATTACATATTTTAGATTCAAAATTATAAAAAGTTACAAAAATTACAAAGAGTAATATAAAATGTTATTAAAATGTTATATTTTGAAATAAAAAAAATTTTCACACATAAAATAGTGAAAAATAATTAATTTATAAACTTTTTTTGCAATAAATAGTATCACAAAACTTATTCTCCAATTTTCAATTAGCAAATATTTAAACTAATTAGAACAAAAGTGATACGAAATTTCCAAAAAATTGATTTTATAATTCTATATGGGAAGGAGACATAAAAATAAATAAAATTCTGTTTTTCTTAGAAAATAAATTTTTAAAAATGCCGTATTTTGCATTAATATCAATTCCTTCTTTTGCAATAATTTATAAGTAACTACTTTTATATTTTTGAATGTTTTATGTTATTTTTTATTTATTCATGACACGAGTTTTATTAATGTTAAATAAAATGTATTAAAAAAATAACATAAATATAAAACTTTTACTTTTTCTATGGATGTCATTGTAATTTCAACCATTGCATAAATATTTGAATTGCACAATCAATAAATTGGTTCTTCTCGACTTCTACGCAAAATTGCTAAAAATCCGCCGAGATGGCAAACTACGAAAATTGTCAAAAGTCCGATACAATCCAGATGATAGTGGCCAATTATGTAACCGTATTTATCCAATACACCTGAACCAGTTGATATGCAAGGCTCATTTGGATCCGGAGGACAAGCTAAAACGAAACAAATTAATAATATTTATTTATTAATAATAATTAGTGTATTCTTTTATTTAATTATTAAATCCACAACCAAAAAAAAATGTTCTTTTATCAATCTGTTCGCAAATATAAAATCATATTTAAAAAAGGGAAGAATAAAAGAAATATGTATGAAAATAAAAACAAATTTGACAAATCTTGAAATTTATGATGGATGAAATTTATCAAATTTGTAAGATTAGTATTTTTGGGAAGTCAAGTCTCAATTATGTTTAGAAGTTGGTTGTTTTTTTAATATTATTTAATTATTACAAATGTTTTAATGCAATTATCTTGATAAATAACAAAATTCTTCACAGAAATTCAATAATTTTTAGGAATTTTAATAAAATTCTTTTCAAAATTCAATTATTTCCAAAACTTTATAAAAATCTTTGCAAAAGTTCAATTACTTTCAAAAGTTTTTTGCAATTCAATAATTCTCAATTTTAACTATTTTCATAAAAATTTATCAACAGATTTAATTATAGAAAAAACTTTTTGATACAATTCTACGAAATGATTCAATTATTTTCATAAATAATAAAATTTCATTTACGAATTCAATTATTTTCATCGCAGAATTTCAAATATTTTTAACACAATTTAAAATAAATTCCTTGAAAAATGCAATTATTTTTAAAAATTTTATTAAAACTTGACGAAACAATTCAATTTTAAGAAACATTCAATTATTCAGTAAAACAATAAAATTCCTTGCAATAATTCAAATATTTTCATAAATAACATTTAATTCGTCGCATAAAAAGAATTATTTTCACAAATTTTTAAGTAATTTTGCTAAAGAATTCAATTGGCTTGATGAACAACAAAATCGCATAAATTCTTCCCATAAAATCAATTATTTTAAGGAATTTTAATAATATTCTTTCCTAAAATTCAATTATTTTGATAAATATCAAAATTCATCACAAGAATTCAATTTTTTTGAAAAGTAATTAAATACTTTGCAGAAATTAAATTATTTTCAGAATTTTTTAAAAATTCTCATCGAGGATTAAATTATCTTTATAAATAGATAGGAAAAATTCTAAGAATTAAATTATTGTCAAAAATTTTTTAAAAACTCTTCTCAAGAAGTCAATTATTTTCAAAAATTTTAATAAAATTCTTCTCATGAATTCAATTGTTTTCAAAAATTATTATTTAAATTCTTCTCAGGAATTCAATTATTTTTAAAAAAATTAATAAAATTCTTTAAAAAGTTTTCAATTATTTTCAAAAATTGGCATAAAATTCTTTAAGGGCATTCGAATCATTATGACGTCACAGTTTGTGCAAAGCATGTATTTTAAAGCTGTGACGTCATAATGGTTCAAATATCCTTAATATAATAAATTTCATTAAAATTTTAATTAAATTCCTTAAAAGAAATTAAATATTTTCAAAAGTTGTTAACACAAATTCTTCGTAAAAATTAAATTTTAAGAAACATTCAATATTTTTTATTTTTGTATTTAAATAATTGATTTCTCGTAGAATTAAATTATTGTTTTTCGTACTTTTAACTAACAATTCTGTGGTATTAATTTTTTTGAAAAAGTTTAATTGAATAAAATTGATGTCATTGATTTATTTGAAATAAAACTATTGATGTTTTCGAATAATTTTACTTTTGAAGAAATTTGTAAATAAATTTAATAGAAATTTTTTTTGAGTATCTAATAATTTTTGAAGTAAATCGGAATATTCTTTAGGGCCAGAGAAAAAGTTTCAATGAATTCGATTAAAACTGTATAAATAATTGAAATTCAGCAATGCGTTTTACTTTTTATAAAAATAATTGAATTGATGAGAAAATGTTTTGAAAATAATTGAAATTTTGCCAAGAATTTTATTACTTTTGAAAACAATTGAATTCTTGGGACAATTATTTTTATTTATTATGAAATTAATTTAATTTCGAAAATAATTTTAAAAAAATTTTTGTAAATAATTAAATTTTGCAAAGACACTAAAATTGAGAATTCGCTGACTTTTCCCTGGCGTTTGGCAACGCTGTAATACTTTTTTCAGAATTTTTAAGTTTATTTTTTACAAACTATTTTATACTAAAAAATTTTACAATCAAATATTGTATTTCTTTTTTCTTCTTTATTTAAATATTTTGTGTATTACAGTAATTTATTATTTCGATATAAATAAATTTGTATTTCTTACCAATGTGATTAATTTCCCGCCACTGCGTTAAAGACACTGCTTCCGTCCCGTAATAAAATTGTGATACATATTTTAGCCATGTCAAATATGCTGGCAGACTTCTGTAAAATATTAACAAATTATTTCTTCTATTATACATTTCTCATTTATTTATATATTTCATTTTATAACACAAGTTTTAGTAAACTTTGCAAACTAACAACTAAGATATCTGGGGTTGCAGTGCGCGAACAAAGTTTAACTTTCAGGGGATTCACCTTGTTGAGGGGGCGAAGGAGTTTACAGAAAATGAGAGAACAAAAAGAACAAAAATAGAATTTAGAAATTGTACTTTACCCCAGTTGAACATAAATTCCGCTAAATATGAGACCAAGGAAGTCAATAGGAACTGCAAGTAGTGACGCCGTTTCGAAGGATTTAAAAGCAGATGACATAAGAAATCCTGTTGAGAATATTACTTTCATTAATATTTACTATATTCAGTTCAAGTGATACTTTATATTATGTGTCTAATTTCACACTAAGAATATTTTTAAAAATATTTTAAAATGTAAATTTAAAAATGGGAAATTAATTAATTTAAATAGTAATACAGAATAATAATGATGAATCATAACCTGTGGCGGAAGCGGATATTGCACTGAGAGCAACAGGTATTGTGAAAAGTATAAATCCAGAAAATCCACCATTCAGACCAACAACGACATAAATCAAAGTTGAATAAGCCAAAGTTTGAAATATTGTCCCTGGAATCTGTAAATCATAAATATATATCCTAATAAAAAATAAATTATTGGGAAGATGAAAAGAAAAATTCAACAAGCCTTCCAACACTTCCCATGCGCTGACATTCTAATTTATTTAACTAGATTCTTGTGGTGAAGTTTGTATTTAAGCTCAAATATTTGTTGGATTTCAGACTTTGCACTCGATAATTAATTTTAAAAAAGTAGCAAAAAGTGGATTTCAAACTAAAACTAAAAAATTAAACTTGACGACTAAAAAAACTTGTTTTTAGACACTTCACAAAACTGACAAAAATTCCATTCCACATTTTTTTATTTTCCTCACATTCTCCTAATTTTCATCAAAAATATTTACTTCATTCCTATCTTGCTAATAAATTGAATTTTTGCTTTGAATATAAAATTCGAAGAATTTTATATAAATATTTAAATAATTTAATTCTTGTGAAGAATTTTATATAAATATTTATATTGCATTTTTGGTAATAATTTTGTTATTTATATTTAATAATTGAATTCTTTCGAAGAATTATTTTTATATAAATAATTGAATTCTTGAGAAGAATTTTATTAAAATATAAAAGAATAATAAAAAAATCCAAAAAAATGTAATTAAAATTGTATTTAAAATAATTGATTTCATTTGAACAATTTTATTCAAATATTTGAAAATAATTGAATTCTTCCAAAGAATTAGAAAAAAACTTTTTTTTCAAATAATTGATTTTTGCGAGAAATGGAAATTAAATTTTTAAGAATAATTACATTTTTTGAGAAATTCCTGTAAAATTGTATTAAAAATAATTGAAATCCTTTCGATGAATTTTATTATTTATGAAAATAATTGAATTATTACGAAAAACTTTACTAAAATGTTTAAAAAGAATTGAATTTTTGGGGAAAATTTTGTTATTTTTGAAAATAATTGAATTCTTTATAAGAATTTTATAAACATTATTTTCAATAATTCATTTTCTCGAAATATAATAAATATGAAAATTTTATCTATATTATTAATAAAATCTGACTTCTGTCTGTACATTGCTCCAAACTTGAAAATTTTTATATATTTTTTTCGTTTTGAGACATTAGAATTCGAAAAATGTAAAAAAAATTTCTGTCTGTCTGTATGCAAAACTTTGTTCGCGCATCAATTGAAAACGGTTTAACCAATTAAAGTGAAATTTGGCAGTCTATTATAGGTATTAACGTAACTTAAAATCATAGCCTTGTCCGATTAAAAAATATTAACTTCAACAAAATTTATGACATTTTTCCAAAAAATTCGAAAAAAAATGCGTTTCGTTTTTTTTAGATTAACTTTTTTCTAAAAAAATAGTGATTTTTAATCTTTAAGCAAGCTTTTCAGAAAAAGTTATTCAAGTTTTTTATTTAAAGATCAGTATGTAAAGTCAGAAATTTGCTACATTAGACAAAAATAATGAAGCTAAATGCCATAAGAAAGAAGGAAAAATGTTAAATTTTAAGAAATTCGGTTTTTTGGATTTTTGCTAATTTTCCATAATTTTAGATTTTTCACCAAAGGGTGGAGACTATTAAATAAGTAAAGTATTTTCTAAGAGCACAAAAATAATGGAGCTAAATGCTATAAAAAAGAAGAAAAAATGTTGAATTTTAAGAAATTCGGATTTTTGAAATTTTTGATAATTTTTAATAATTTTAAATTTTTTACTAAAGGACAGAGACTATTAAATAAGTAAAGTATTTCTGAAAAGCACAAAAATAATGGAGCTAAATGCCATAAGAAAGAAGAAAAAATGTTTAATTTTAAGAAAATCGGATTTTTGAATTTTTGATAATTTTCGATAATTTCACATTTTTTACCAAAGAGTCGAGACAATTTAATAAGTAAAGTATTTTCCACATTAAAAAGTTTGACATTAAAAAATATATAAAAATTGCCAATACTTAACCCACAAAATTAAATTTTCAAAACAAACAAATGAATGCAGATAATTTGCTAACGGAAAGGAAACTTACGATTATTATAATGTATGTATATGTTACCGGCAAAGTATGAAATCCAGGCATTTTATAAAATGCCTAGGCAGTATATAAAAAGCCTGTCCATTTCAGGCAATGTATATAATTAAATTATTTTTTCATATATTGCCTAGGCATTTTATAAAATTCCTAGGTATTTTATAAAATGCCCATCGAGCATAAGGTAAAGTATATAATAGTCTCAGCAGCTTGAAACGTCTACCTTTTTCTATAAACACTTTCCACGATTTTTCTATTACAAATAGAAAATAATAAGTATATAACAATAAGTATTTTAGCTATGTTTACATAGCTGCATGTTAGCAGTGAGTAATTTTATACAATGAAGTTCAATATTTCTAACTCTTAAGAATAATACTTAATTAACAGAAAATACAAATTTTGTCAGTCAATTCTCACATTTTGAGGTAATCAGTCGCAGAAACATAAATTTGAACTTAAAATGAGTGCAGAAATAGGAAATGTTTCAGTGACAAGGGATAGATTTTTTCCGAATTTTCTAAAATTAAAAATGCAATGGCAAAAAACAGTATATTTTTATCAGACGAACGGTATAAGCAGTTGATAAGTGATGTTAATAATGTTAAAGCTACCGAGAAAAAGGAACAGGCCAAGGTTTTGTAAAATGTTCTTGTAAAAAACTGTCAAAGCAACAAATATTTATGCATAAAAAATAAGGTCCAGTGTCAGTCGAAATGTCATTCAAGTATGCCGTGTTGTAACAAATAAATTACAAAAGAAAGTTAATATTTTTATAACAGAAAAATGTATATTATTTGAAATAAAACTAAATTTTATACTTTGCCTAAAGTCTAGTGGGCATTTTATATAATGCCTAGGCAATGTATAGAAAATCTTTTTTTTATACACATTGCCTGAGACAGACAGGCATTTTATATACTGCCTAGGTATTTTATAAAATGCCTGATTACATACTTTGCCGGTAACATATATATGTATATGTATATTTCTATTTTCTATCAAAACGTATAAAAAACAAAAGAATAACTATAACTAACTTCAAGTGTGGACAGAGATCCGGAAATCTGGAATCACGACGATTATTATATATAATTAATAAAATCAGACTTCTGTCTGAACATTGCTCCAGACTTGAAAATTTTTATATATTTTTTCTTTTCCAGACATCAGAATTCGAAAATTCCCATAAAAGCGAGAAAAAACGTTGAATTTTAAGAAATTCGGTTTTTTGAATTTTTGCTAATTTTCCATAATTTTAAATTTTTTACCAAAGGGTGGAGACTATTAAATAAGTAAAGTATTTCTGAAGAGCACAAAAATAATGAAGCTAAATCCCATAAAAGAGAAGAAAAAATGTTGAATTTTAAGAAATTCGGTTTTTTTGAATTTTTGATTATTTTCCATAATTTTAGATTTTTTACCAAAGCGGGTAGACTATTAAATAAGTAAAGTATTTTCGAAGAGCACAGAAATAATGAAGCTAAATGCCATAAAAAAGAAGGAAAAATGTTGAATTTTAAAAAATTCAGTTTTTTGAATTTTTGATAATTTTTGATTTTTTGCTAAAGGGTGGAGACTATTCAAATAGTAATATTTTTACTACCGAAATAGCTAATGGTAACTAATTATTATTTTTTTTCGGTCAAATTAAATTCCCGGCTATTTTCTGTTTTTCCAGATTGATAGAAACATTGTTAAATGTACTGGTAGAAACTAAAACCCGTCGAAGACGGGTACGACAGCTATAGTTATGAATATAATTGAATTTTGGTCGAATTCGGTCAATTTTTTTAAAATAATTTAATTGTTTTGCGAAATTTGATGAAAATGCTAGATATTGGAATTAATTGAATTTTGAATATTTTTTGAAAATAATTGAATCGTTTTAAAGAATTTGATTATAATTTTTGAGAATAGTAAGTTTTAGTAGATGAATGCGAAGCCAGAGTTCGTTTCTCTCAGTGCAGTGAGCACACAATATTGAAAATCAAAAGGAATTAAACCATATAATATGTGAAATTACCTACCGAGAATACAACTTTGCTAAAATAATAAGGAGCAGGATTGTAGAGTCCACTGGCAATGTCCCTTAGAAGTAGAGGTAATTCCCGAGGAAACGTATAGAATACAGCATAATTAAAGGTAAAAACAGTTTCGGTAATCACTAGATAAATCAGCCCCTGCATATTTTGAATGCCTCTTTGGTCTAAATCGTCAGCTACTGCTATATATGGAGTAGCAAGTAAAATACCTATAAACTTGTAAATTATTATTCATTATTTATTTAAGCTAATTTACTAATTTAAGGTTATTTACTTTACAAAGTTCCAACACTTACCATGTAGAGGAGAAATCTGACAATGAGCACAGATAAATTTCTTTTGTAATCAATGTAAATTCTCCACGTTAACCATTCCAACTGAGTAAGGCAGCGAACTTTCTTGAATTCAAGTGTTGACACACAATCATTGAGAAAAGATGTGTGAACTATTTCTGCCTTCGAGGTGTTTGAACACGAGTCCTCTATTAGTTTTGAGACATTTTTGCCGTATTGTGATTTTTCAAATTCATCACAAATCCAGGATGTCTAACGGAAACGGTAATAATTCTATACTTGATTGCTCAAATATTTCTCACTATAAGGGAATTTAAGCTTTACCTTCTTGTAACTGTCTTCTTCAGAACCACATTTTACAGACAGTTGGGATAGAAAGAAGTCGGCACTGTTAAATGTTGGTGGGCAATGCAAATCTAAACTGGAAATAAGATATCAACTGACTATTTTTTAGTTTACTTTTGAAAAAATATGTTTATTTTAGTAGAATCTTTAGTGGAATAAATATTTGAATTGAAGAAATTAGAAAACCTTTCGAAAAATTTAGTAGCATCGGCTGAATTTCCTTGGAAAGCAACTCTTCCAGTGGAGAGTAGAAGCACCTGATGGAAAAGATCCAGTATTCCTGAAGCTGGTTGATGAATGGAGCAAATAACAATTTTCCCTCTTTCTGCCACTTCTCTTAGTGTTTTCACAACTGTCATAGCTGCATAACTATCTAATCCACTGGTTGGTTCGTCGCAGAAAAGAACTCTCGGCTCTGTTAGTAACTTTACAAAAATCACTTTAATCAAAATTCATTAAAAATTTTCACAAAAAAAATTAAATAGCTGTTCCTAAATAACCTTATAGTTTGGATGTAATCAGACTTTGATTGAACCCAAGGCATAAAACTAGAGTTCAGTCGCAATTGTTCTTCTATAATTTGTCTTTAATTATTCTAAGCGATTCTCCAAATTATTATTTATTTTACACCTTTGGCAAATAGTTTTTTTTTATTTCATTCAAATACCTGAACAGCTAGTGAAACCCTTTTTCTTTCACCTCCTGATAAAGCTGAAAGTCTAGAATTACGACACTTCACCAATCCCAAATCCGTTAGAAGAACAGTGATCCGTTGTTTTCTTAAGATAGTTTTGAATCTTCTGTCCATTGTCATTCTGGCCTATTTGTATAAATAAATACTATAAATTTTAAATTTTATCAATATCAATAAAATTAAATTTAATGTAATAAAAATATTTACCATAAATTCCATGTGTTCTTGAACTGTTAATGTATCAATGGATAAATCTTCTTGTGGAACAAATCCAGACATTCTCGACATTATTTCTTGATCAACTGGCTCTCCATTCAAAAATACATCACCAACAGTTTCATCTGAACACAAGGAAAATTAGAAAAAATTTTTAAAACTACTCTTTGAAACATAGGTTTCTTAAAAGCATCTTAAAAGTATACAATTTTTATGCAATTTAATTTTTTTAATTTAGATCATTTTTTACCCATAAAACGTGTGTAAATAAAATTCAATTCTCAACCATAGGTGCATAAAAATTTTTAAAATTGTATACTTTTAAGAAACGTAAAGAAGAATTTAAAATTTCAAGATGGCGGACCAAATATGGCATCAAATATAAAGTAAAATTTGAAAGTTTTGGTCGCTATATTTCAAAATACCAAAATGTTATTGAATTTACCTAAATTTTGTTACTCGGGGGTTTTTGGGGTCGCTGATTACGAATCTGTTGTCAGATTTTCAAAATTAAAAATGGCGGATCCAATATGTCTGATAAAAATTAAAAATTATTTGGATTTGCCTGAAATTCTTTACCCGGGGGCTTTTAGGGTCGGTGATTACGAATCTGGCATCAGATTTTAAAAATCTAAAATGGCGGATCCGATACGGAGGACAAAAATTAAAAATTATTTTGATTTCTCTGAAACTATCATTACACCGAGAAATTGTTTAGATTTCATTTTAAATGTTGTACTTTAAATAAAATTTGTATAAAACAAAATATGACGAGATTATAGGATATAAACAAATTTTATGAACTTAAAAAGTCAATCACATATATAATTAGTTATTTAAATAGTAAAATAATAAATACTTTTGCACTCTTGCAATACTATTAATTTTAGTACGCTATTTATTTTCTAAATTCTTATTTACTATCTCTTTAATAATATCGTTCACAGAATATAACTTATGGTAAGAGCAGGACATCTGATCTGATGTAATTTCAGCTCTCTGCAACTTATTTCTTACCACTTCACTGAACAAAGGACAATTAAATTTCTAACAGTAAAACAAGAATGTTTTTATTTACTCTCTACCTATATTATTGTCTAATAAACAATTAAAATTTTTCAAAACTCACCTTTTATCTTTCTACTAATAGTAGCAAGAAGAGTCGTTTTCCCTGCACCACTAAAATTAAAAATATTTTCATTTTCCTTTTTAGACTAAAGTATGTATTTAAAAAATGATAACTTTTTGAATTACCTTGGACCCATTATTGCCATAAGTTCTCCAGATTTGACAATTCCATTTACTGAAAATGGTAATAGAAGATAAATGACAAATTTATTAAATTTTTGTGAAAAAAAAATTGATAAATAAATAAATTTGTAAAAAAGACTCGAAAATAAGTAAATTTTGGATAGAATTTTGATTTTAATTTGTTTTATTGACAGATAAAACAATATTTTATTGACAAAAATATTTATTTTGGCTGAACATTTTAAATACCCCCTTGAAGAACTTTCGTGTATTGGTGATTGTTATTTCCAAAAAGTACTTTTAAGTAGTAATTATTGTCGTTGTCCATTGTTTTAACTTCATAAGAAATATCCCGCCATGTTAATGTTAATTCCTTGGATGGATAGTGAATAACATTTTGAGATGAAGAGGATTTAATCTGCAAAAGAGATGTGATAAAGCTACAATACATAATTTTAATTCTTACATTTTTTTAATACTTATTTATTTTTATACTTAATAAATTAATAAACATACTATGTAAACCGATTGTTTACAAAGTGTCAGTGACCGATTTGGCTGAAACTCGGAAAAATAAAAGAAACATATTTTTTGTTAATCGTCAAAAAAGGCGATTTGATGTGAGATTTACAAAATTCAAAATGTCGGATCCAATATGGCGACTGAAAATTTTGAAAAATCACAAAATCACAAAATTTAGAAAATTGTAAGTTTTTCCAACTAAATTTACATTGCATATTTAATTTTCAAAGAAGAATGTCTCTATGCTATACAAACTGCTTTCATAGAACGTGGTTATTGAATTACAGACATGAATGCAAAAAAAAATACAATAATAAGAACACACATAACAAAACCAGTTAAATTTCTCCCGTTGATTTTTTAAAAAAATCTCATAATTAAACATTACTTTTTATATTAGTTAATATTTGTTTTTAATATTAAAATTAAAAAAAGAAGAGTAAAAAGCTCACCTTATTATTTTCAAAGAATAACATCATTTGAAATATAGTCTTCAATTTTATAAATATATTCACAAATTTTTTTTAATTCGCGCAGTAAAATTAATTGTCTTACATTATTAACATTAACAATTGACAGAATAAATTTAATAAATTTACATTTATTACTAAATGTGGATAAAAAAGCAATTATCGTGAAACTATATATTATTCAAAATAAATTTTTATTTTAGGGAGAAATAAATTTTTTTTTTAAACTATGGTAACTAAAAATCACATAGTTTTATATTTCACTGATATTGGTTTTTTTTGTATATTTTTCTATGTATAGTTAATATTTCAAATAAATAATTTAACTTTTACACTGTCAACTCTTGTGGGGTAAATGAAGGGACTGCGTGTATTATGAGTGAGACAACTTTCGACGACGCGACTCGACCGCCTATATGTGATTTGCGGGGGAAGACCTTCTTTTACGTACCTTCAAGCAAATCGTTACTTAAATAAAAATTCCCTTATGGAATTTTCAATTGAAAAATTTATTGCTCTTTTTCTTCTGGCATTCCAAACACAACAATCGAAATTGAAAAATAACTAAATTTGAATTAATAATACAAATTTCTATTAAACAAAAATCACTTATATCGGGAAAGATAACTAATTTAGATAAATTTTTATTTTAACGTAAAATATAGTTTGTCGCCGATGTATCGTGTAAATTTTCTCAGTGATAAAAAAATCTTTTGAAATTTAATGTGTTTCCAAAAAGAAAAGCATAGTTTAGCGGAATAATTAAAAAAAATTGTGAAACTGTATAACCAATTCAAGTGTATGTTCGTAATTAGCGACCCAAAAAACTACCGAGTAACTAATTTCAAGCTAATTTGATTGACTTAAATAAATAATGAGTTAAAAACTTCCGCCATATTGAATCAGCCATTTTGAATTTTTTAAAAAACAATTGTAGAATCAGAAAGAACGATCAAAAATATATATAAAAAAAACGTGTTCCACAATTGAAATATGAGAATAAGGGTTGGATTGTGAAAAATCAAAAAATTTTCAATAACAAAGTCAAAAGCTACAAATAATTGCAGAAATTCAATTATTTTCAAAAGCAATAAAATTCTTCGCAAAAATTCAATTATATACGAAAATTTAAAAAAAATTCTCGTGAAAATTTCAATTATCTTTATAAATAGTAAAATTCTTCTTTGAAATTCAATGATTTTCAATATCTACTCTATTTTAATAAAATTTTCCAAAAGAATTCAATTTATTTAAAACAAATTTTTAAAAATTCCATGCAAACATTTAATTTAAATTTAATTAAAATTAATTAATTAATTAATTTTAATTTTATTATTTTTAATTTTAATTTTTTAATTTTAATTTAAATTTCACAGGAGTTCAATTATTTTACAAATTTGTCCGTTTATAAATAAATAAATAAATAAATAAATAAATTACTTCGCAATAATTCAATTGTTTTCATAAATAATAAAACTCATAGCAGAATTTCAATTTCTTTAATATACAATTTTAATATAATTCCTTGAAAAATGTAATGATTCTTAAAAATTTTATTAAAATTCGTCGAGAGAATTCAATTTTAAAAAACATTCAATTATTGAATAAATTATTTATTTTTGTAAATTTAAATAATTAAATTTTCGTAGAATTTTCTAATAAAAATTGATTTAGAAATGAATTTCAGTTAAAATTTTAGATAATAATTGAATATTAAAATCATTATAGCGTGAATTTTTAGAAATAATTGAATTTTGAAAAGGTTTCAAATTAAAATCTATGAAAATCTGAATTTTTCAAACTTTTAACTAACAATTTTGTAGAATTAATTTTTTTGAAAAAGTTTAATTGAATTTTTTTAAAAATAATTTCAAGTTTTTATTTTCTAATATATATATATTTAATGGTTTTAATTTAATTTAATTTAATTGTAAACAAATGATTTTGAAAATTCTCAAAAGAAGAATTATTATCAAAAATTGTTAAAAATAAAATTAATTTGAAGAAGAATTTTAGTTAAAAATTATAGAAAATAATAATTAAATGTAATAATTTGGATAATTAATAAATAATAATAAATATGTTAATATAATTTTTTACATTTATAATTAATTTAATTAAAATTTATTATTCCCTTACGTTTTTTCAGATGGGCACAATATTGATTTTTTAAGAATGAAACATTTATTTTTCATTTCCTTCTGTTTAGTTACTATACATAATAATAAACTACTAAACTATAATAATCTTTTGACGATAAGATATTTCTTTCTCATGAAGAGAGGAATTCATATTTTCCGCCATTATATGACAGGCTTCTCCATCTACCAGCAAACTAGAAAACCATCTCGCAGATTGCAGATATAGAATTTCATGTTCGTCATTTTCGTCATTTTTGTTGATTCTTGTGAAAAAATTTGTTCCAACTAGAACGTTCAAATTTTTGGAAATTGAAAATGCAACGACTACCTTGTATTATTACGAGAAATATGGCATTTCTAAGGTAAATAATATTTACTGTTATTCGGTGATTGGAGATCATTTTTCATCTGCAGTGAATTCTTTCTTTTCGGAATGAAATCCGGCTTTTTGTCTATAATTCCACACTTGCTCCAAACGAGCAAATTCTTACTCGTTTGTTTTAGAACGTTTGTTAACGTTTTTAACTCGTTTCACTCTTTTATTTTTATAAAAAATTGATTAAATTAAATTCTACGATTTTACACGGGAAAAATTTATTTCTGTTTCTCTCAAATTCTTTTAATATTTCACTTGAAAGTTATCGAGACAATTATATAATTCAAGTGAGTAGGACGACAAAGTCTAACCTCACAAATTTTACCTCTTATTTCATTTTATTCATTTTATTGCATAATTAAATTTTTTTCAAAAACGAAAAGTTGGTGACGAAAAAAATTCATGTTTTCATTTTTCTTTAATTTTTTAGATTTTTTAGTAGTAAAATTTCTTTTTCAAAAGAGTTTTCAATTAATAAAAAAGCAAGAGTATAAATTTATAATAAAAAATTGTCAATAATATGGTGTATATTTTTATCACTATACTTTATTTTCATCTCTTGTGAATAAATAAAACAAAAGACGAACAATATTGCATTTTAATCATTTTCAGACAATACTTTTGCAAATTTTCTTTAAAAAGAAGAGAAAAAACATTTTTTTCTCGGACACAAGTTAAATTTCTTATGTAAAATATTAAATATTGAGGAGAAAAAGCTTTGGAGATTTTGAGTAATTTAAATTTAAACTTTAAAGTTTTTTTAGTAAAATGGCAGCCATTTTGTTATTTTTATATTTTTGGGTATAAACTTTTTAAGTATCGACCGTGATGTCCAAACTGTCTGACTTGCTATTTTCTATGTCTGTTTTTTTTTATTTTAATTTCAAAAAACTCGTTTTAGACACTTCACAAAACTGACAAAAAATCCATTCCATATTTTTTATTTTCCTGACTTTTTCCTAATTTTCATCAAAAATATTTACTTCTTTCTTATCCTGCTAATTAATTCAATTCCTGCCACGAATTTTATTATTCATGAAAGAATTTCAATATTTATAAAAATAATTCAATTCTTCTAAAGAATTTTATAAACATTTTTAAATAATTAATTTCATTCGACTAATTTTATGCAAATTCTATAATTTAAATAATTGAATTCCTGAGAAATTTTTATTATTCATCAAACAAATTGAATTTAAAAAAAAAAAAATTTTTAAATAATTGAATTCTGTTTGGAAATTTTATGAAAATAGTAGATATTGAAAATCATTAAATTGCGAAAAGTTTTTTAAAATAATTGAATTTTACATAGAATTCTATTTTTAAATTTTTGACAATAATTGAATGTCTGTGTGGCAATTTATTAAATTTTTTTGGAAAATAATTGAATTCCTAAAAAGCATTTTATTATTTATGAAAATAATTGAATTCTTGTGAACGATTTTATTGGATTTTCTTTAAATAATTGAATTTTCAAGAAGAAATCTATTACTTTTAAAAATAATTAAATTCTTGTAATGAATATTGTTATTTATGAAGATAATTGAATTTTGCAAAGAATTTTATTAAAATGCCTCAAAATAATTGAATTTCCGGGAATAATTTTGTTATTTATCTTTAATAATTGAATTCTTTTGAAGAATATTGTTTATGTAAATAATGGAGTTCTTGGGAAGAATTTTATTAAATCTAAAAGAATAATTGAATTATTTCAAAAAAATTCAATTAAAATTGTAAAATAATTTATTTGTTTCGAACAATTTTATTAAAATAATAATAATAAATAATAATAATTGCTTAGAATTTGGGATAAATTTTATCAATTTTTTTTTTAATAATTGAATTCTTTTGCGAAATTTTATGAAAATACTATAGATATTGAAAATAATTGAATTACGAGTATTTTTTTTTAATATAATTGAATCGTTTTAAGGAATAAATTAAAAATTTATTTCTAAATAAAATATTTATAATTTTTTAATATTTAAAAAGTTTTTGACTATATACAACTCAATTGTGCTACAACTACACAGAAAAAAATTTGATCCGAAACAGCTACAAATTTCACTGTATTAACGAAATTATTATTTGATTCAGTTAAAATTTTCTCTGGTGACATTTTTTTTCATATGTATAAGATTCATGAAATAAAATTAATATAGAAATTAAAAATATGAAATTGAAATTATAAGTTTATCTTGAGAATTAATTTTCATTAGATGAAACATTTTCTGAAAATGATTTTAGCTCGACCATATTTAAAGGACATATAATTTATGCCATTAAATTTTGCATATTATTGTATGCTAATAAGTTGAAATTATTCCTTTCTTTAACAACTATACTCTCTTGATGCTAAATTGCTCCAGTAGGATTTGAATACGTAATGTTGAAACTTGGGATGTTACTTTTCACACTCTAAGCTGTAGATGTTTTCCACACTAGAAAATGAAAGTAACGATAAATTTACTCTCGCGTAATGTTATGGACTTTAAAAATGAGACACGATTTTAATATTTATTTAAATTGGGAAAATAACAAAGACACAGTTTTTTTTAACGAAATCTGTTAATTTTTTTAAAATTTTAGACCGCCATATTGGATCCGACATTTTGAATTTATTTTTTTGACTCTCGGTCATTTTTAATTATTATAAAACATGAAGAAATCATCACTAAAAAATCACTCCGAGTCTTCGACTCGGAGCAATCGACTTCTTCATGTTTTATAACAATTTTTGATAAATTGTTGAATTTCAAAAAGATTTCAATTTGAATTATAGTTAATTAATTAATTAATTTATTAATTACTTTTATAAACAACGTAAATTTTGATGGATTGAAATTTCACTATAATATTTCACGCATCTTTACTTAAATTTAAACAAATAATTTCAATAACTAAAGGAACAATGGAAATTTCAGTAAAGCCAGAATGTCCGGCGAGCCGGGATCTGGTGCCGGAAAAGGAGGCGGTGGCGGTGGTTCCATTCGAGAAGCTGGTGGAGCATTTGGCAAAATGGAAGCTGCCAGAGAGGATCAGTTCTTTTATAATCAGGTGATAATTACCAGATTTATGATTTTAAGTTCTTTTTGTTTATTTTCGATAAAAGCAATGTGCAATCAACAATGATTACACATTTCAACTTTTATGTCATACTTAGAGACATATGAGATTAATTATTTTTCAAGTTAAAAATATTTTTTAATCGAGAAATTTATTTTTAAATACATTAAATTCTCTCTAAAAATATGTTAGTAATTAGTAAATTATTTATGCGGAAACACTGCAAATATTGCTTGAAAAAAATTGAAAAAAATTGAGAAATGTTAAAAATATTATTTTAGTATTTAAAGTATTATTTTATTTCTATATATTTTATTAATAATAATTAATTAATGTTAATATTAATAATAAAAATAATAAATAATAAGTTTGATATTAACAATGATTATAATTTTCAGCAAAAGCAACAATTAAAGAATTTACGTGATGGACTTCATGATGAGATTTCTTTCCATGAGGAGCAAATTAAACGTCATCAGGAAGCAATCAGCCGTCACAAAAATAGAATTTCCGATATGGAGCATAAATGAGCAAATTAATTTCAAAACTTGTATAGAATTGAAATATTCTATATGCGTCTCGTGAAACATAATTTATCCTTGAGATATCGCAGAGAGTAAGCATTGTAGAAATTTATTTTCAATTTTTTTTCTTTTTATTAATTATTGAGTTTGTTAAAATCAAAAATAAATATCTTGTTTTTACTGTTTAACACGCTTATTTGTATTTATAAACCGCAATAACTGCTTTTTTTATAGAGGAAATCTAATTTGTCAGTCCCAATATTATTCGTGTGAAAAACTAACATAGTTCTATAGGCAAAGTACGTACTTACTTTGTTTTCAGGTTCATTTTTTAAAAATATAGAAATAAACTTTATGAAATATTAGTTAAGCTTGTCATTATTTTTTTAAACGAAATTTTTTTTTATAATTTCAATGGACTTTTCTGTAATATAATATTTCAGGAAAAAAATTAGTTTACTATTTTTGGTCCTCTAAGGGGATTCTTTTTTAAATTTTAACAAAGATAATTTAAAAAAATCTACTGATACGTCAGTTAATTTTTACTGACAATCGGATATTATAATTATTTTTGCGTCTTTTTTCGATTATTTTCAAAATTTCAGACTTTATCGACTTTTCTTTCATTACTGGAACAAAATATCACATTTTAAGTATAAAATGCAACTTATGTTGATTTTTTTAATGTGAAAAGTAACTATATGTGGACGTCCACATGAAAAGGGCCCATATTGTCGGTTCTAGTTTTCAAGATAATCGCAATTTAGTAATTTTTGAGCAAATTCTTAATTTTTTTTTTATTTTTTATTATCAATCTACATGTTTTGACAAGTCGAATCATGCGGTTTTCATTAATTTATCGATACTTTAACTGTTTGATTTCATTGGTTCTTTAGAAAAATGAAAAGGGCCCATTTTGTCGGTCATTTGCAAAAGTAATCCGTATTTTAAAAATGGAGGTATAGAAAAATTTAAAACCTCTTGATTTTTCATCTCTAAGGTGTCCTGGACTGTAAACAATTCTTATCTGAATAACTTCTCAGAAAAACCAGGGATATTGATGTTAGAGTCCTTGTTTTTGTAGTCATAGAAATGAAAAATTCGATATTTCGTGAAATTTTTCGTAATAGAGACTGTTAAAAAAATTTAAATAAGTTTAATATCTACTCTTTTTCTTCAAATGACACAATAAAATTGTACATAATCATTAATCCTGTAAAAAAATGGTTTTTTAATAGAAAAACTGTCCTTTTTAGAAAAGGGCCCATATTGTCGGTTTCTCGTACTTAAGTACGAAATTTTTCAAAATTAAGAGGGGGGAAGGTTTTAAAAATTTAAAACTTATTGGTTTTTCATCTTTTAGGTACCCTGGACTGTAAACAATTCTTATCTGAATAACTTTTCAGAAGAACCAGAGATATTGATGTTAGAATCTTTTTTTCGTAATTGTCGAAATGAAAATTTTAATATTGCGTCAATTTTTTCATAATAGAGACTGTCAAAAATTTTTAAATAAGTTTAATATCTATTCTTTTTCTTCAAATGACACAATAAAATTGTACCTAATCATTTATCTTGTAAAAAAATGGTTTTTTAATAGAAAAACTGTCCTTTTTAGAAAAGGGCCCATATTGTCCATTTTTCGTATTTTCAAAATTAAGAAGGGGGGGGGGGGGGTTTAAAAATTTAAAACCTGTTGGTTTTTTATCTTCAAGGTGCCCTGAACTAGAAACAATTCTTATCTGAATAACTTCCAAGAAGAACCAGAGATACAACAATTAGTTGGTATCGCAATCTTTAATTCCGTTTTTCTCGAAATGAGGTTTTTGGCGTTCTAAACTTTGAAATTCCGTAACTCAGCGAATTTTCAACCAAAAAAGTTCTAAGACCACTCAAAATTCTCCAAATTTTGCCAGGATTACGCCCATATAGATAACTTCAGTAGTGCCAAAATGGGCCCTTTTCATGTGGACGTCCACATATAGACAAATCTTTCAAAAATTATTTTTGAATAATTTTTTTACAGGGTTGACAAAATTTTTAATCCTAACCTTTTTAGAATTAAAAAACTTATAAAAAATTGTTATAAAACATGACCGACTGATAAAATCATTATTTTATATTATAAGAATATTGTTACTGTAACCTATTAAAAATTACTTTCATTATTTTAATTCAATTATTGTTTTCCACAATTTTTAACTAAAATTCTTCTTTAAATTAATTATTATTAATAATTTCTTTGAACATTTTCAAATCCATTTGTACTATTCAATTTTACGAAATTTCATCGATTATTTCTTTGGAAATTCTTCAATCAAATATACATTAGAAAATAAACATTTCAAATAACTTAAAAAAAATGCAATTGAACTTTTACAAAAAAATTAAATCTACACAATTTTAAGTTAAAAGTATGAAAAATTCAAACATTCAAAGTTTATAATTTCAAACCTTTTCAAAACTCAATTATTATCTAAAGTTTTAACTGAAATTCATATTTGAATCAATTATTATTAGAAAATTCTACGACAATTCAATTATTTAAATACAAAAAAAAAAATAATTTATTGAAGAATTCAATGTTTTTTAAAACTAAATTTTCACGAATTTCAATAAAATTTTAAAGAATAATTTCATTTTTCGAAAAAATAAAATTTAAAATGTATTAAAAATAATTGAATCTCTGTAAAAAATTTGATTGAATTGAGAAAAGTTTTTGAAAATAATTGAAATTTTGTCAAGAATTTTATTAAAATTTTCTTAAATAATTGAAATATTGACAAGAATTTTATTTAAATTTTTGAAAATAATTGAATTTTAGAGAAAAATTTTAATATTTATAAAAATAATTGAAATTTTGACTAAAACTTTAATTAATTAAATTGAATTTATTTATTACTTTTGAAAATAATTGAATTCTTGAGACGAATTTTTTAATAATATTTATTTTTAAATACCTAATTATTTTTAATACAAAAATAAATAATTTATTGAATAATTGAATGTTTCGCAAAATTGAATTCTCATAAAGAATTTTATTAAAAAATTTTTAAATAATTGAATTCTTTTGACGAATTTTAATTAAATTTTAAGAATAATTACATTTTTCGAGGAATTCGATTAAAATTGTATATAAAAAATAATTGAAATTCTGCAATGAGTTTTATTATCTATGAAAATAATAATTAAAACCCTGTAAAAAATTGTATTACATATTTATAAAAATAATTGAATCTCTGTAAACATAAATTTAATATTTTTGAAAATAATAGAATTATTGCGAAGAAATTTATAAAAAAAATTTTAAATAATTCATTTCTTTTGGAAAATTTTATTTAAATAGTAGATATTGAAAATCATTGAATGGAGGAGAATTTTTGAAAAAAAATTTAATTTGTTAAAAAGAATTTTATTAAAATTTTTGAAAATACTTGAATTTTGGAAAAAAATTTTAATATTTATTTAAAGATAATTGAAATTTTGACGATAATTTATTAAGTTTTTTAAACTTCTGATCATAATTGAATTTCTGCGAAGAATTTTAGTACTTTTGAAAATAATTGAATTCTTGAGACGAATTTTTTAATAATATTTATATTTAAATACCTAATTGAAGTTTTTTGTGAAGTTTTATTAAAATACTAGATACTGAAAATAATTGAATTTTGATAAATTATAGAAATTACTGAAATTTCTACAAAGAATTTTATTAGAATTATTTTGGAAAAAAATTGAATTGTTAAAAAGAGGTTCATTAAAATTTTTTAAAATAATTTAATTCTTTCGAGAAATTTAATTAAAAATGTATTGACAATAATACTTATATTCTAATAAATAAATTATATGAAGGATTTTTAAAATAATTGAATTTCTTTGATGAATTTTAATAAAGTTTTTACGAATAATTAGTAATTACATTTTTCGAGAAATTTCATTAAAATTGTATTTGAAATAATTGAAATTTTGCAATGAGTTTTATTATTTATGAAAATAATTGTAAATCTATAAATTTTTTATTATTTATGAAAATAATTGAATCTCTGTAAAAAATTTGATTATTTCTGAAAATAATTGAATTACCTATAATTTTTGGAAATTAATTTTCATTAATTTTCATTGTCAACTTTTTATTTTTGAAGATTTTTCTTTATAAAAATTTTTTTGAAAGCTCAATTATTTTCGAAATTTGCAATTCAAATTCCCCATAAAAATTTGCAAAAATTTTAATGAAATACTTTGAAACAAATGAATTATTATCAATGAAAGTTTATTTAAATATCAAAATATTATATTTAAGGGGAGACTTTGAATATACATTTTTAACTAAATTGGTCAGAAGAAATTTTGACCATTTTTGAATTTTTATTTTTTTTAAAAATTGATAGATTTTAAAATTTATCCGTAATTTTGTAGAAAATATGTTTTTGTATCTACAAAAAATTACCGAATAATCAATTTTTTACTATTTTTGAAGCATTTTTTTTGGGAAAAAAACATTGTTTTAGGTTAAAATTGCGTAGATACAAAATTACGGATGGATTTTAAAATCTATTAATTTTTATTAACTTTTAAGAAAAATAAAAATCCAAAAAGTCAAAAAAGTCACAAAAGTTTTGAAAATAAGTTGAAAAAAGTCCACAACATTGATAAACGAAAAATATTTGTTTAATGTTTTCGAATATTACTTTTAAAATTAATTATTTATTGAAAAACTTTTTCATTGATCAAGGTTGTGGACTTCAATTTGATATAAATATGTATTTGGAAGACAATTTTTTAGTCATTTAACATAACCTAAAAAAAGAGAATAATGAATTAGTCAATTAGTCCTTTTTGACTAAAAATTAATCAGTACTGTTTTTAATTAAATGGACAAATAATTCATGACTCGGACCTTGAATTAGTCGAAAGTAATTCAAAATAAGAGACTGAGCTAGGTAAGTAAATAAAAAGTATTTATTAAAATCTGTCAATAGTCACATGAGTCCGAGGCCTCTAAAATTTGAATGAAAAACCTCACGTTCGCCTTCGCTAATTCGCTTTAGTATACGTTTTATTTTATTTAATTATTGACTTTTTTTTAATCACACACGTTATTATACTAACCTCTATTGATTCAATTTTATAAATTGAAATATATTGTTTTATTTCGTATCACAAACATACAATTAATAAAATTAGTACCTACAAAGCAAATAGAGAAAAATTAAGAACACAAAAATACAAGAGGACTGCTTTTGAAAAGTAAACAATATACCGACTGAGAATGTCCGAAGGACACTTGCCTGACAGATGAAGATGTCTGCCAATCCACCCCGCCAGATGGCTCTAATGTTCAAGATGGCGACTTTTTAGAGACCAGTGTCTCGCGATTCATCGATCAGTGTAGAGTGTTCGTATTGTTGCTCCGTGGTTTTTGGTGGTTTTTCTACCGGGCCGCGGGTCTTTAATTGGTTTTTAATCGTAAATAGTGGGACCTGTAAGGCTCGAAAGGGCCCAACACAAAAGGATTCAATATGCAACCAAGGATATATTGGGTTTTAGCGAGCGCATTTCTCATTCTCGCAGGATGCAACGCCGCTACTGAGGTGAGTTTCTAGTCACAAAGCACAATGTCACATCTTTTCCCTCAACATCATTTCTTATTATTGCAAAGTATATTTTCCCCTCGTTCATTGTCCGTAAATGTCAGTTCAACAATCAACTAAAACCCCAACAACAATATTCACCAGGCTGACATTATTTTTATGTTCTTATTACGAAAGAAACAAACCGGGTGCGTCTCGTTCGTTTTGCTCCATTTGCTTCTCGGTTAGTAGTCAGGATCTTGATATATATTTTATCTCGAGTCTCCATTTCCTTTTCGAATGAATATTCCAGGGGGATTTTCAGTAAAAGAATATGCGCTATTTTCGAAAGGATAAATTGCATTCGTGAAAAAAGAGGTTATCGTGTATAAAATTGAAAGGTTATAATACTTCCATCACTCTCAACAAAAAAAAAAAAAAAAAAAACTCTCCTTTACTTTGTGTCACTTATTTATATTGCAGTTCACTTCTCTGAAGTGATTTTCTCTCCTTACAAAATTATTAAATTGTCCATGAAATTCGAAGAATTCTTGACAATTGCATTTAACTGGAGGATTCGTTTTTTATTTAACTTTAAAGATTTATGAAAAATGTTTGATGTAAATTCCTATCCAGTCAAATGAATCTGTCAAAACCGGTTTTCTTTTTTAATGCCTAAAAATAACATTAATCTACTTACGAACAATATATTTAGGGCACGATGTCCCTTTAAAATTTCAACATATGTATTTTTAAACTCAATCAAACATGTTTTTCTCGCATGTCACTTTCATTTCAATAAAATTCGGTATATTAATTATAAACTATCAAAAAAATGTACTAAATACGGAATTATTTACTGCTAAAAATTAATATTTTCAAATCAAATTATCCTTTACATTAAATTATTATTTTCATATAAAATCAATGTTTACTTATTAAATAAATATTTACCGATTAAATTTTCATTTACATATCAAATTAATGCTTACATATTACATTAATATTTACGTATCAAAATAATGTTTACAAATTAAATTAATATTTACATATAAAATTAATGTTTACATATTAAATTTATAGTGTAAATAAATAAAATTCAAAAAAGAAACTTATGCTTAAACAAATATATATTTACATATTTTATTAATTTAAAATATTTTTTAATTCATTTTTATTAATTTTATTAATATTATATATTTAGTTTGTGTCTAAATATAATTTTTTTTTTCATTTCAAAAATATTTGCTTTTCAAATTATTACTTTTCTGAAATTCCAACATATTTTTGCTACAAGCTTTTGAAAAGAACAATTACAATAATTAATTTTAAACTGTTGCAAATTTGGAAGATTTTTCTTCAAAATCTGAAGAAAATTTTTAGAAAACAAAAATGTTGATAACATTTTTCACAAGTATTAAACTATTTTAAAATTTTTTTAATAAAATTCGCTTGACAAAAATTAAGTTATTAATTCAAAAATTCTAATAAAAAATTCTTTGAAAGAATTCAATTATTTTTATAAACACTAAAATTCATCGCAGAAATTTAAATATTTATAAAACAATTTTAATGAAATTTCACAAAAAGATTCAATTATTTTAAGAATTTTTTAATAAAATTAAATTATTTTAAAAAATTTTAAAACAATTCTCTGCAAAAATTTGATTCTTTTTATTAATAATAATATTTTTTGCGAGAATTCAATTATCTTCAATACAATTTTCATTTAATTTTCTCAAAAAAATTAATAAAAGCTTATTTCAAATGTCTTATAACTATTTTTAAAATTTTTTGAATAAAAACTTTGCAAGAATTTAGTAATTTTTTTGGTACATTAATTTGAACATTTAAAACATTTAAAAAGAATATTTATTTAAAAAAAAGTTAAGCAGCAAAATTGTTTGTTAATTTTAATTTCATATTTGTAGAAATAATGTTTAATATCTGTAAAATTCATTTTTGACAATTATTTTTGATTCAATTTTTTGAATTAAACTTATAATTTTGATTTTTAAAAGTTGAGTTAAACAGAGAAAAGGGTAGTTTGACAGCTATGAAAATTTAAAAAAAGAAGTCTTATGTTTCAAAAATTATTTAAAAATATTTTTGAAAAATTAATATTTATAATTAAAATTCTCCAAAAGTTTGATTATTTAAATTTTATATTTACAAAAAATTGAATGATTTTTAAAATATGTTACCAAATTTCAATCTTGTTTAGAAATTTTTTAATTGTATATAAAAAAGTTTTATGCTTCAAAAACTATTTAAAAATATTTTTGAAAAATTAATTGTAAGAATATATTTATTATAATTACATTCCCATCACATGAAAAGGTATTTTTTTGAAAATATTACTTATATCAACAATTTATGAAAAAAACATGGACAGTTACAATTATTATAATAAATTTAGTTTTTGTATTAAATAATTGAATTTATTGTAAATGAACTTTCGGAAAATTATTTAAAATAATTGATGTAGAGATGAAGTTTAGTTGAAAATTGTAGAAAATAATTGAATTCAGGAAGGGTTATAATAATTGTAATTTCTAAAAATAATTAAAATTCATAAATTTTACTCATTTTCCGTAAACTTTCATATTTTCCGTGGATTCGTGGATTATTCATTCTCTTGTCGTCACCCTTCAAAGAGAACAGTTTATTTTAATTTAAATAAATTTCAATTTTATAACTTAATATTAAAAATATTATAATATTAATAATTTTTGTAAGAGGATTTATTTTATTGAAATCCAGTAAAGATTTATTGAATTAATTTCTATTTTGAGACAAATGAGTATTTAAATTATTTTGATTGATGTTAATTTTGGACTAGTAATTTTGTAATTTAAAAATATTTAATTAAAATTGTGATCATTTTACATAAATCTTGTGTCTAAATTAATTTTTGATTTTAGATAATTGAATCGTTTAGTTTATTGAGTAGCCGAGTAATTTAAAAGTCTTTGTAATTTTTTTTATTTTGATAATTAATTTTCTTTTGTAATTTGACTCAGTCTGGTTGGTGCCCAACAATTAATTGTAATTTGATTTTTCGTATTTTAATTTTCTTTATTTTTGCAACTCCAATATAAGCTTAAATTTATTTCTTATTTCTGTTATTAATTATTTATTTCATTTAGTTTAAAAATAAATTTATGGAGGTTTACAAAATTAATGATTTATTAGAAAAGATTATAAATTTATTTTCAAAATATTTCCGACAACTTTTATTATATCAGGTGTAAATTTTGTTGTTATAGTTTCTCAATCAGATTATGATTTCTAATGCAGAGTCAAGGTTAAGATTCTCACTTCCTTTTCTTCTGTTAAAACAATCTTCGTGAGATTAAAAAAAATTTCTTTTTTTTTTTTTTGAAGTCTTCAGTAATTAATTCAACCTTGTCAAAATGGCATTCGTTGAGCGAATGAAGTTTCCTTTGTACCGAGGAATGTCATTCATGTTGCACGAGACTTTGCAATTGTTCTCAGGTACAATGAACTTATTATTAGGAAAACTGAAGGAAACTCTTGACAAACAGTTGCCTTTTCAAAAGCAGTATATATATGAGACGAATGTCTAGAAAAAATTAAAAAAAAAGGGAGAAAAATTCAAGAAATTAAGAATAAAATGAAAAAAAATTTCTTTTATTTATACTGTTTGAAAAAATAAAAAAGAAGAAAAGAATTATTTCCTTTTTATTATTATTCTTTAATCGAACCGCCTGTGTATATTAGGGTCAAAGTTTTATTCAATGAAGCGGCTTATATGTGTGTGAAAAACTTTTAGAAAGGGGATCTAACTTTTTTTCTGTGTATCGATGGTTAGAAGGAAGTTTGACTGCAGTTGAAGGGAATCACAAGAAGGCAAACATAAAATTTACTTTTAATGCTACTGCTTTCGTTAATAATTTCTTGTAATTTATCTTCGCATTTTTTAGCCTTTTTAGAAAAAAGATATATTAATTATAATTCAAATTATTAAAATTACAAAAAAATAATTATTTACTATTAATTGGTAATTTCAGGGTTGCCACGCAACCTGGAAACCTGGAAATGTCAGGGAATTTTATAAACCTTGAAAAAACCTGGAAAAGTCAGGGAATTTTTATTGGGATCCTGGAAAATTATTGTTTTCTAAAGTTATTGAGCTTATTCTTGAAATATAATTTTTCTTTAATTCAAATTTCTTAATTCAATTTTAAAAGAGTTGCTTTTACAATTTTTCTTCGCAATTCAATTATTTTCATAAATAATCAAATTTTTTACAGAGATTCAATTATTTTCATAAATAATAAAAAAATTTATAGATTTACAATTATTTTTATAAATAATAAAACTCATCGCAAAATTTCAATTATTTTAAATACAATTTTAATGAAATTTCTCGCAAAATGTAATTATTCGTAAAAATTTTATTAAAATTCATCAAAGAAATTCAATTATTTTAAAAATCCTTCCTAATAATTTATTTATTAGAATATAAGTATAATTAAATTTCTTGAAAGAATTAAATTATTTTCAAAAATTTTAATGAAATTCTTTTTAACAATTCAATTTTTTTTCCAAAATAATGTTAATAAAATTCTTCGTAGAAATTTCATTAATTTCTATAATTTATCAAAATACAATTACTTTCAGTATCTACTATTTCAATAAAATTTCACAAAAGAATTCAATTAGGTATTTAAAAAGAAAATTATTAAAAAATTCGTCTCAAGAATTCAATTATTTTCAAAAGTACTAAAATTCTTCGCAGAAATTCAATTATGATCAGAAGTTTAAAATAATTAATAAATTATCGTCAAAATTTCAATTATCTTTATAAATATTAAAATTTTTTTCCAAAATTCAATTATTTTTAAAAATTTTAATGAAATTCTTTTTAAGAAATTAAATTTTTTTTCAAAAATTCTCCTCCAGTCAATGATTTTCAATATCTACTATTTTAATAAAATTTTCCAAAAGAAATGAATTATTTTAAAATTTTTTTATAAATTTCTTCGCAATAATTC